ACTGCCGAAGCCCAGTCATAATTTAGTATAGAAATAGATTTATTTTTAAATGTTTGATTGTATTGTCAATGAAACGTTAAGTTCGCGAACTGCTGTATTTATTGCAATGAACAATGTTTCACTCATGATTGCATACGGTGCGAAGTGAAAGAACCTAATTCGTGTTAAAAATTATTTCGACACGTGGTTTAAATTCACTCGATTGATCTCAGCTGCGTCTGATCTTCTGATCTACCTCATGTCAAGACACCCTCCAGGCTCCAGCTAGCCTAGCTATAAAGGTGAGGTTGTTGAATACATCATCTCATTCATCTGTTAGCTAAGTTAGATGTGTGCTTACACTAAGCTAAGTTAGATGTGTGCTTGTACTTTTGCCAAGTTAGATGTGTGCGTGCACAATGCCTCAGAAAAATGCATTTGCGATTTGGGCATGTACTTAATTCAACAGTATTGTTGTCATGAAACCTACAGTGATAACCGTTTATCACGGAAAATGAAGAATATAAGGAATCAATTATCTAATTTTATCTTAAATGTTCTATATGGCATTTGCAAGCTGAGCAAAGTAATATATTTCACTATTTGTAATAATATTTATATAACTTACAAGCTTTCTTACCTGCTTGCTCAGATGGTATTTAATCAATATCAATTTAGAGGTATGTAGTCTTACATTCGTTTTTTTTTTGCGAAATGCATGTTGTTATGATGACCAATCTTTATACCGCGAGGTTTTGAGTTTTAGTTTTAACTTTGTGCTTGGCTAGCTTGTTCCTATTCTTTAGAGAACGAGTGAGACTTCGTCTACTCATGATCGATAAGAGCGGTCTGCGGCTGCCAGACTATCTGGGCTGCTTAGCTGCAGCCTCGAATATACCTTTTAGTTACTCGTTATTCTGCAATCATTCACTTGCGGATAATCGAATGCATTCGAAAAGCACATGATGGTCTTTACTTGTGGCTCTTGTAGAAACGTTGAATGATTGCTCTTCTGGTTTAGAATTTATTCCATGATGCTCAGAACTCGAAAGATCAATGTGAGGTCAAACGATGAACGAGAATCTAGATACCGGTAGTTGAGTAGATTTGTAACTTATCTATAAGGTACGTAATATATTCAGTAGCTTCTTTTAAACAACTTAGCTTTCTGCTTTCGGTACTCTCCAAAAATAGAAAGACCACGCAAAAATAATCCACTATTTTTTTTATAACCATCACATTTCTTGCTGCAGCCTTAGTCTCCGAATGTTTTCTTTTAGTAAATTGAAAGGCCAGAATGTTCAAATTTCTTCAATTTAATAATCAATCAACAAATATTCTTGTTCGTTTAAGAGGGGTCATGCTCATTTGGGTTCGTTGAAGAGAATGGTAGAAAACAGCAGGGGTATATAAGTGTGGCGCGAAAGTAGGCATGATGGCGCGCTCGTGTTTCCCTAATGAAAATAAAGGAAAATAACAAGTAGGGAGAGAAAATACGCGTATCGAAGAGCAAGGAAAAATCAGGGAGGAAGAACAAACGGTTAAAGAGGAAGCGTTGCGCGCGGTACTGCGTAAGAAGAGGATGCAGAGAGGGGCGGGCGGGGCGGAGCCGCCCAGTACTGGCGGAGCGATGGTCACGTAGGCAAGAGAAGCTGCGGCAGCTGCGGCTGTGCGTGGTGTCGGCAGCGTGGCTGAGACCGTCATCACGGCGGCGAGCTGCTGAACTATAAGCGGTGCTTCTTCTCGCTCAGCTGATGCACCTCGAGTGTACTTGGTTCATCGACCTGCAACTTCAGGAATAGGTGTATTTTTTTATGTTGTTTCTTAAGTTCGTCAGGTATTAGAACGCTTAATATGTTATGCTCGCCGTGTAAATAGGCTATAAGGAAACTTCTCTGATTTGTTGTAGTTGATTATTTTTTCTGGAGCAGGGCATTGCATATTAGAGGAATATACACCAATATGTACACACTGCTGAAATTTTCATCTCTTTTGTATCTCATTCTTGCCCCCTCAGGGGGGACTTTTGACGCGTGTCTGTGCCCGTCAGAAGTCCTATGGGATTTCGCGCTCCTATGTGGATTGTTCCTGAACGCCCCACCGCTGAGCTCGCGGTGTCTGACTGCGGGTCTCAGTTGTGGGGTTATGTTATTATGTAGGTAGGATTCCTTACATTTCCCTTCTCTGTCTCTCGTGCGGGCGGCCGACGTCCCGTGTGAGCGACCTCTTGTTCGAGTGTCTTAGTTTCTGTTGCTTTTCACCTGTCCCTCCTTGTTACTTCGTCTCTTTGAGATGCTAACGCTGCTTCTTTCGAGCCAGCTTCAGCGGCTGGACAACTGAGGCTTTCCGCCTCTTGTGGGTGATGATTAATTTGAAATCCTGAATAATTAAGACCTTCCGCCTTGCTGGCGATGTTACTTTTTGACCTCCGGTGCGAAATAGCGTGATAGCTGAAGCGCTGACAAACCATTCTACTACTACTAGTACTTGTATCTCATTCTGGCGAGGTATTTTGTGTTTTCATCCAGGTTTGCATGTACGCATTCAAAAGTGAGTTTCAGGTTATCTCGACATGATAACATATCAGAATATTGCCTGTATTATTCATCGCTCCTCCCTTCTTGGTGACCCGATGCACAATACCATGCATTTATGCTTTCATTAATGTTAATAAAACTTTAATATTAATATTATAATTCTAGTATTTACATGATCAGAATTTAAATATGTTACTTGTTGATGTTGCAGTTGATTAAGAATTACATTAGCCTTGTTGCCCTTGTAACTACGGACTTATGGCTTTTAAGATTTTTAAAGGGACTATTTTGGTTGTCCTGTTGATGATGGAGCTTATGAATAATTAGCAAATCTGCTATACTCATAACATTCATTTACTTCTTATCAATCCTTTTCTGCGAGGATGAAGAAATTAGTTTTTTATCACATTTGGTTGGGTTATCTCATGCCTTTTAAGTCTCAGATTTTATTCTTACTCTCATTTTACTCACATTAAATTGATGTCTTTGTATGTAGTGAGTCTAACAAGTAGTGAGTCTAAGCCACTTCCCTTCTTCCCTTCTTGCGTAGGAGTAGGATTTTTTGTAATCCGTTTTTGTTATTATAATTTTCTATTGGTTCGGGTTACGATTTTGTAGTTACTATGTCACGAAGGTGATAAACTGATAGGAAAATGACGCTTGCATCGTTTTTTTATCTAATGGACTGCATCGAAGGAATTAGGGTTGGGAGGTAGTACATGCATCATACCTGCGGCGTTTGCCGCGGCTGCATTGTTGAGAACTCCCAACCCCTCCTCCTCCTTCCCCTCGAGGTGGAGGTAAGGTCGCTGACTCCTACCATAGCGTTTTAGTCCGCCGCGTCTCGAATGCTATCAGGACCGCCTTGGGTGCTCATATACATCTATGTTTACGGTGAATTGTTAATTTAGATTCATCGTTTCATTTCAAACTCCTCTTTTCGTAGGTATTTAATGAGCCTAGGGTTACGATTTTTGAATTACCGGTATTTATTATGTGTATGCTCCGATTGATTCCCATGTTTCGCATTGGCTGTGCTAGCACGGCTCAAAATAAACCGCAATCAATGAGAAACATTTAAAAATAAATTTCACTGGGCCTGGAAGGTCAAATTTTCTGTTGCCTCTGTTCGCTGGATTGTAAGTTCGATCAATACTTAATTTGTACACTGGTTCTCGTTAGACGAAGCGCTTAGAATAAACTCGCCAAGAAATCAATATCAATCGATTGATGCCGAGCTTTTTATAGCTTTCTCAGTTACTGCCTGAGAACGTGCTGATCTTCTCATCTCGATTGCCTCCTAGATTTAAAGTTGGTCACTACTTCGGCGATCAATATTGGTTTTCTTTGCTATATTTAATTACCTGTAATCAATGCACCTTCAAATTTTCGTTTTATGAGAAACGGCTTCTACATTGTATATTTCTCTGCAAGGTTTATTAGGGCATTCTGTGAATGTGCCAGTTAAGTCCGTTTAAGTTTTGGCAGCTGTCAGTGACATTCCACAGTTCGTCGCCTCTAATTGCCGACAACACTTCCTTGTGTTGGTTTCGTCCCATCTTTCCGTTACTTAGGAACACGGCTTTTAGCTACTTCGGTACTTCTACATATTTTTGAACGTAGAGTTTAATCAATTTTATTATTCTTCCATTTGCTTGTTTTAGATTTTTTTTGCAGTAAAATCAATGTCTAAATTTATGATGCGAAATTTATGCGAAATTTTCTATCAATTTTATGAACCACTAAAGTCAATTTGTTTTGCACGTTATATGGTCTAATGTAATTTTTATATGCTCTCGTACACCTTTGTATGGTTGCTGATTTATTTTTTTTAATTTTTAGGCTGAAAATCGATTTAACATTCATTTTATCCTTTACTTGTGTATTTATAGTTGAGAACTATATATGCTAAATCTTGTTTGTGGTAGGAATTTCAAGAAAAGAACATGTACATATCCTCTTCGATGTGCAATTGTAAAGACAGTTCATTATCTGCTAATAAAATTATCTGTGTTTAAACCTAAATTCTTAGCTGATGCCTAGGGATCCTAAATTCATTTTCAACCTTCACATTATTGGAATTTAAATATAAGTCAGATGAATCAAAATTGGAAAATTACTATTTATTATAGTTATTTACCTGTTATGATCACTTTTTCCCGATGTTGTGGTTCTATTTGATTTTGTTTGTATGAGGGTTAGCGTTTTGAGCTTGCCGCCTACCCTTACGTCTGGCAGCCTGAGACGCGTCTGACAAGTGGCGCACGAGTTCACTAACCTTCCATTGATTTGATCAGCTGTTGGTTTTCGGTAGTAGGAAAAATAGCTATCATTTGAGCCGCATTCATTGTGCCTTGTTGATTAAATTAATTTTGCAGACTTGGTCAACTCAATCGAAAATGTTGATTATCTGTCTGTACATTCGGTACAGATAAATAACTATGTTCGTCGTTTTTAAAATGTTTTTTTTTCATTTTCTTTCAGGGCCATCAAGTCCTTCCAGCAAGTACTCTACATCGACTCAAGTTTCAGCCGTGCTAATGAAGTACATCTGCGGTTGGGTTTGATGCTAAAAGTCCAAAATGATTTTGAAGGAGCTCTCAAGCATTTTCAACTTGCCCTTTTAGATTCAGGACCGTGCTCCTTCACCAAGCTAGAAAGTGAGTGATTCATCCTATTTTTATACCTTTGTTGCGATGGAGCGAATTGTGAGGATATGTGGACGTGTTCTCGAGCCAATTCAACGTTCTAGCTTTTCTGCGTGTTTGCTTAGATTTTTTGTATACAAGATATTTTGTATATATTTTATATTAAGTTCCTATCTCCATCAATTGCTAATGTAAAGATGTGTATGTACCTTCTTCCTAAGGTACTCTGTGTTAACACTTTTTTTATTTCGTGCTTAATTTATTCCCTTGCCAGTCCGTTTTCATGAGGCGCATCTCTACGAGCTTCAAGGCAAGCACAAAGTTGCTCAAGACGCTTACGAAAAATTATTGAAGGAAGAGAGCGTGAGCGGCCAACTACGGGCTGATATTTTGCGTCAGTTGGGATGGATGTACCACACAGTCACCTCATTGGGCGATAAAAGGGAGAGAGAAGAGAAAGCCGTCACGCTACTCCAAAAATCTATTGAGGCTGATCCCAAGTCTGGTCAATCTTTGTACCTGCTCGGCCGTTGTCTCGCTTCGCTCGGTAGAATACACGACGCTTTCGTTGCTTACAGGAATTCTGTTGATAAATGCGAAGGCAACGCAGACACATGGTGCTCCATCGGGTAAGTCGTGGAAGATTTACATCTCATTGTAATAGCAATTTTCATAAATTGCTTTGACTTTCGAGTCATTGCATTATTTTACAATTTAGTACCAAAAATTTCTGATGTTAGTTATTATTTTTTCACAAAAGAACTTTTTGTAGCTGAAGTTTGTGAGGGTCGAAAAATATGTACCTGTTATTTATTAAATCATCCTCTTTTACAGAGTTCTTTACCAGCAACAGAACCAGCCTATGGACGCATTGCAGGCTTACATATGCGCAGTACAGTTTGACAAAAGCCACGTAGCAGCTTGGACAAATTTAGGAATTTTATACGAATCTTGTAATCAACCTCGGGACGCCTTAACGTGTTACCTCAACGCGAGTCGATCAAAAACTTCTCGCATTCAAAACCCAAACCTTGGCCCTCGCACTCGCTTTCTGCAGCAGCAGCTCGCGGCCGCACCCATGCCCTCACTGGCGCGTCCCAAGACCTTGCTCACTATAGAGGAGGCTTGGAACCTGCCCGTCGCCACAGACATGAACCAGCGAGGTGGCAGCGCTAGAAACTCAAGTACTTCGGCTTCTGGTGGAGCGTTCAATAAACAACAGTCACACCCGCCTCCACCTCCGTATCAGCAGCATCAAGACGCTAAGAGATTCAAACCCGATGCGTCAGAGCAACCCAGGCCTCAGTATTACTTAAATTCTCACCAGCTGCAAATGTTACAATATTTACAGAATAATCAGACATCTTTGACGCCTCCTCAGCAACAGCAACTTCAGCATCTGCAACACAACTATCGTCTAATGCAGCAACACCAAATGCAAGTCAGACAACAGCAGCAGCAGCAACAACAACAGCAGTTACAACAAGGAAGCAACATTTCCGGACAAAACTATGGGTCTTCCGCTCGAGGTCAGCCTGGGGGATTTGTGAGTCCTATCGGAGGAGTTGTTAATGGTTCATCCCCTGTTGCTGCTAGTGGTCCCGGTTACCTCTCCCCTCGGCCTCCAACTCCTCAACAATATAATAACAACGGAGCTCCTAGTTATTCCAACGGTTCTTATAACAGCGGTCAGCCGCAACAGCAATCTGCTAACCAACAAATGGTACCCGGGGCGCAGCAGCACAATAACTCTCCGAATTTTTACACTAATCAAGACCAAGTAGGAAATCTGACACGAACGCCCAACTCAGCATCATCCACTCTTGCTGACCCTACGACTGTCAGTGACCAAGAACTGCAGGAGCTCATCAGCCAAAAGGAATTTGCCGAGTCTTTTGCTGAGGACCTCCTCAACAGATTGGCCAAAGGAGAGAATGTCATGGATGAACTTAATAAAGGCGAGCTTGATCAAACCGCCTTACCAAACACACAATTTTCCACTGGTGCCCTCCAAGATCTAACCCAACGGCTAGATTCTAGAAATGTTAAACAGGAAGTAGATTTAAAACCAGACAGCATAGTTGACGTTGGTCTTCTAGACCATTTGCCTTCAGAAATTAAGTTAGAGAGCAGCCCTGAAATTGAAATCAAGCCTACTATGTTATCATCTGAGATTCTGACCGCTTGTCGTGGACGCGGAACTCAAGCACGTAATATCAGTATGATAGGAGACAATCAACCTCCTCCTTCCCCGCCTGATCCTCCAGCAACGCGACTAAATCAAGATCAACTCGTTCCTCCCACTGCATCCGTGTTACTCGAAAATAAGAAGCTAGCTTTCTCTCCTCAGTTACAGGAGTTTTGTTTAAAACATCCTATCGCTGTTGTAAGAGGGATTGCATCAGCTCTCAAACTGGATTTGGGTCTGTTTTCTACTAAGACGCTTGTAGAAACTAATCCTGATCACACAATTGAGGTAAGGACTCAAGCCTTCCAACCGGCTGATAAGAACCTGGACCCCAATAACCCGGACCGTGTTGTCTGGCCATGCTATTCTCACCGCTCCCACACCACCATCGCCAAGTACGCTCAGTACCAGGCTAATACCTTTCAAGAAAGTTTAAAGGTACGTTATTTCTTGTTTTTGTTTAAACCAAGCATAATAATATTCTTTCTTGAACCACTATTCGGAGTCATGCTCATATCGTCGGTCTAAAGTAATCGCTACCTAGTATCTAGTGTCATGGTTGACGTTTGAAATGATTTATTCATATAAAATATAGAAATTCCCATTCAAAAATTACTGTCAATTTTATTACAACACTTCTCTTTAACTTCACTTCTTGTTGTTTGTTTGTCTGCTACAAATCTTATAATCGATATTCAACAAACTTCTGCATGTCCAATCGATCTGAAATTTTCCACTCTTGCGTAAAGTTAAAGACAATGCATGAATCAATTGACAGAATAAATAATTTTGAAAAAATTATTCTTAATTTAAAAAAAACTTAATTTATTAATTTTTGTAATATATGATAATGAAATTAGAAATTCATTGTAAGTGTGTAACATCAGAGACACTGAATTCTTCTAGAAGTGTTGTCTTTAAAAAGTAATTTTTAAACGCATATTATTCTTTTATTGATCAGGAGGAACAAGACCGAATAGCTGCTGGGGGTCAACGAGTTGATGATTCTAAAGCGAAAAAGAAAGTCGTCAATAAAATGATCAAATTCGGCACCAACGTCGATCTGTCGGATGACAAAAAATGGCGTGCTCAACTACAGGAACTGCAAAAGCTTCCTTCGTTCACTCGCGTTGTGTCGGCAGGCAATATGTTATCACATGTGGGTCATCCAATCCTAGGAATGAACACCGTCCAGTTGTACATGAAGGTTCCAGGTTCCCGCACTCCTGGTCACCAAGAGAACAATAACTTTTGCAGCATCAACATTAACATTGGGCCTGGAGACTGTGAATGGTTCGCCGTGCCTGATGCCTATTGGGGAATCATCGCTAACTTGTGTGAGAAAAACGGAACAAACTACCTTCACGGATCGTGGTGGCCTGACCTCAAGGAACTGTTCGACGAAAACGTGCCTGTCTACAGGTTCCTCCAAAAGCCTGGCGATATGGTCTGGGTGAATTCTGGTGAGTCTTACATTTGGCAATGGAGAATTTGAGGAGTGAAATATTTTTATTTGACTATTCGTGGACCCTGAAGTCATCTAAACTATTGTTTAGATGATCAATTATCCAAACACACTAAATCATGATGAGCGTAAATTTTAATTTTCCTATCCGAATCTATAGGAATCAGACTAGAAAATCTCGATTTAATTTTGTAAATGCATGCAATATTTACTATGAACGCATACAACTTTGAATACATGTCCTCTGTCTGTATTATTGCAATTCTTCTTCACGTGTCATCTTTGTGCAGGCTGTGTTCACTGGGTGCAAGCAGTTGGATGGTGCAACAATATCGCTTGGAATGTAGGGCCTCTAACCGCTCGTCAGTATTTGCTTGGGCTGGAACGCTACGAATGGAACAAGCTGCAGAGATTCAAGTCGATCGTCCCCATGCTTCATCTCACTTGGAATCTCGCTAGAAATATCAAAGTGTCTGATGCAAAATTTTTCGAGCTCATCAAGTGAGTTGTTGTTCTTGTCCAAGATTTCTTTTCAATTGTTCTTGTCGAGGATTTATTTTCAATTCAATTTATGTTTAGTTTGACTTCTTGGGTCTTGATAAAATGAACAAAATCGAGTCCTGCTTTCCCCCATGAGAAATTTCCTCCTTTATTATCTAAGTAATAATGGAGTATTTTCAAGGTTTTACTTTGTTTTCCTCAGGACTTGCCTAATGCGGTCACTGAAGCAAGTGTTCCTGACTTTGGACTTCGTGCGTATGTGTGGCATTGAGCCGCGCTTCCATGGACGCGCCCGCAACGAAGCTTCGCACTATTGCGGCGTGTGTGAGATTGAGGTAAGCATTCTTGCCTTTTTTGTGGGCACGCATATTATTTTAAAACAATTTTTACCATTAATTTGTTCTTTGGTGTTGATAAATCATTACCTGCTTCATTATGAACTTTTATCCCATAATAATTATCCAAAGATGTTTCAAAATTATATTGTGATCAGTAAGTTGAAGCACGGCACTATTTTATTTTACTTTAATCATCGCGGAAGTCACTTAATGTACTCAACGCTAGCCGGATCATTTATTTCATCTTAAAGACATACCATTCAGCTCATCTTAAGCATATAGTAATCTATAAAGATATAGAATACAATATGTAGAATTTAAAGGCTGAAGTTTTACATGACCGTCTTATCGTTGCAGGTTTTCAACATTCTAATGGTTCGCGACATCAACGGACGTAACGTTGTGCATTGCATTGACTGCGCCCGACGCATCTCACCCACTCTCGACGGCTTTATTGTGCTTGAAGAATATCACATAGAAGACATTATGGAAGTTTATGATCAATTTGTCTTACATTCTGTAAGTAACACAGTCGTTTCCTAATTTTAACATTCTTGAGTCTTCTCTGAATGTAAAGGCCTCATCGAGAATCCTATAATGAGCTTTCTGTACACTCCATTCCGTTCTACCTTAGATTTTGACGCTAGTTGACATTTAATTCTAATGTTTGATTTATCGTTAGACAAAGCTCGTGTAATTTTCTAAAACTAATATCGTTTATGTTGAATATATATTGAACCTATTCGTCAAGAGACGTTTCTAAAATATTGAAAAAACGTCCCATGAGAGATTCTGCCAAAGTTATTTTTTTTTTTAATTTCCATAATTTTTATCTCGAGTTGTAAATGTGTTTGTTAAAATTTTAACTTTCTTGAGTATAAATTCCTTCATTTCCAGATTCAGAGTCAAAGCATCCCAGGTCAAGCTCCCACTCCACCTCCAAGCTCCCTGACCCCGACACCGAGCGCTCTAGCCACGTGACCCTCTTGAAACCATCTCGCGCCAGCATTTACATTGATGTCTTTGTGTTCACCTTTACATCCGATTTGCCACGCAGAAGCCACTTGATGTAGATACGAACGACTTGGTGGTTCATGGCATCCGATATTATTGAGCTCAGATATATTCCAGTCACTGTACATACAAGTAACTGCACCTAAATTCCGTTTGCATTCTCTGAAGCTAAGTGCTGGGAATTATTACACCTAATTTCTAATACTTATTTTTAAAATGGTAGTGAACGGCGTAGTGCAGCTTTCTTCCCACTTGAAGATCCTTGAAAGATTCATACTGATGACGTGAATTTTTCATTAAATATGATTTAGCTCGCGTTTGCTGTGGAGATTGGACCGGTGGCTTTGGAGATGTGTAGACGGTGGTTTCATTTTCTTATTTAGGAGCTATTATAATTTTGTAATTTCAACTTTCCCGTATTTTTAGTTTAACTAATATTTTTGAAAATTTAATTTAAAATAATGTGATGATTCTAAAAAATGGTTATTTTCATTGATCGCTATAAAACACAAATGAGAGCGATGATGCCTCATGGTTTCAGCTACAATCATCATGATTTCATAATCTGTTAATTCATTTTTTATCTATTCCTTCACAAGGCCACGGTTCAATTCTTTCTAAAACACCAGTTATTTCGTTCTCGTTATTGATCTTTATCCTTAGATTGATGACAAGTAATTCAATTAATCGTAATGTAAATTTCTTTGTTCGTACGTACGGTGGGCATGTGTTATAGACTTCAAACCTGATATTCGCTGCCCCTATTTTGCCGTGCCTTGCTGAAGCTCTTGATACCTACATCACCACCAATGCGTTGAGGCTTTTCCTCATAAATGATGTATATAAAGAAAAGATTTTTATTTTATTCGCGAGAGAAGTGAGCAGCAAAGTGACGGATTTAATTATTTATCAAGTTTGAATTGTTTTTGTACGTGTTGTATGCTTTTTGTCGGTTTTGCCTAGTAACTGTTTTTTTAAAGAGATTCTCGGCTTTTCAGCTCTGTGTACAGCTTCATGCAGAAAGCTATTGATCGATCGTTTGTCAAATATTCTAGCTAATTCTTGAGTGACGGATTCCTAGTAGTGTACGACTGGACAGTGTTTTTGGAGTTGCTGATTTTTCTCAAGACAAGAGCGAATATGCTGCTGGAGCCTCGTTTGGTTGTGAGTAGCAGTTTTGCACATAATATTGTTACTAGTTGTTTAAGGCGTGATTGTTTTTCTCTGCTGAGCGATCTATACGGAAGCATTGCCAAGTTGAAGAAGAAGCATTCTTCTGATTTTTTTCTCTACATTTCAGAATGTCGTTGATCTTCTAATTCCCGCTTGTTATGTCCACAGTTTTCGTCGAGAGCATTAAATTTCATGGTGACTTCAATTTTGTTTAATTCTGATGCTTAATTTGAGCGTCTTGGTCGTCTTGTAGATTAGCAGTATATTTTATCAGAGTTGGCAAAGGAGGCTTCTAGCAATAGCGCCGTTAGTTGAGCTACATTAAGTGTTAGCGTACAGTTTATATGTAATTTACTTTTGTGTTATTTATGTATCTAACTTATATCTATATATATATTTATGGACTTATTTAAATATTTTTCTCTGAGTGACACGAGGTATTAGCACCACTGGGCATTGTACTTTTAAGGAGTCAGCTAAATGTGTTTGAATTTCCTCTGTGATCTCAGGACCTGATGACCCATGGCGGTCTTTTCTTTAGGGGGACAGACACCGTCTTGCTTGCGGCTCGCTCCTGCTGCTCAATCTCACCGATCAAGAAGACCTTTACATCCTTTTGACTGTAAACTGCGATCTACATACAAGATTAGTGCGAACTCGTTTCGTAGGCTGTAACAGCTTTTGATGTCAATCACTGCCAATATTTATGTGAACTGTAGCCAACTAATCATGTGCGTGTTTAGCGACTAGTTCTATTAAGTATCCATACTAAAAGTGTCTTAAGTAGCGTACTGGTCACCATTCAGAGGCATGCTCTCGTCAGTAACAGCAATAGTCATCTAAGGAGTTGCTTGCCATTTATTCGATGTTTTTGTTCACCTCAGAGAATACATTTTGTAATTGTTTACACGCCCTGATTTAAGTTAAATCAAATTTTTGGTAGCTAAAAAAAGCTTTCGTTTGGATCATCAGTTAAATAAGTAGTATGCGACGCGAAGTGGTCATAAAGCAAAAGATTGATTAGTTACGGTTGTTGGTGTGTGTTTGTGTATTGTGTTGTACAGAATGCTTTATTTCTAAATTGGTAAAGTATTTCCATAAATTCGTTGATGTAGTTGCGCGACTTGCGAGTTTGATATTATTTCTCTTGAAAGTCTAAGCTATTCTGGAACTTACTTATAATATGTAGGTACGTTCGACGATACAATAATTCAGCCGTCCTTCATGATTGACTTGCTCTTCTCAGCTCACATGTTTCATTTTGTTTGATATCGGTATCATTTGTTAGAAAGGGTTCAAAACTTGCAGTTTTGAGTTAATTATACTTTTAAATCTAGATATCTGATAAGTAAATTTTATTAACCAAGCTTGTGTTTCTTGAATATTTCCCTAAGACTTGTAGCAATGAAAATATGTCTTTGGTATTAGGAAAATGGATTTAGCCTGGAGGTCTAATCTAGAACAAGGTACCTAGAAGGACAGTACCTCCGAACAAGTTAACTGTACCCGTTTCTGAATAGGCACTCGCAAATTATCGTTTAGAATGATGCTACCTAACATCTTGCATCGCTCATAGCCCTGGTATAGCGAACTGAAAAAACACGAAATATTTATGAGCATTCCCATGTCAAAATACCTGGAACTGGTAATTAATCGATAGTGCATGCATGCATCTCCATTCTCTTAAATCATGATTTAGGTATTTACATATTCCTCTCGTGAGGCTCCTTGTAATCCATGCCAATGTAGTCGAAGATGTCTCTCTCGCACGTTACAGGCAGTGGCTCTCCCGCCACGCCGGTGCTGCCCACGGGCCTGATGCTGTACTCGTTTAAGGTGAAGCCTGCGGACAGCGCTACTGATCGCATTTCCTGTGGGAACAAAATTGATGACTTCTGCGGGCAAAATTTTTTGTTCAAACGTGGTTTTCAGAGCAGTGATTTATGAGCATCAACTAAATGTACATCTTATTTTTCCGTGTAAGGTATTCAATTTATTTAGGTGGATATCGTTTCAACGTCGTATTGTGAATATTAGTAACCTTATTGAAGAGACCAGAGCCAGTAAAGTAGAGGACACCGCAGTGAAACTGATCAGGTGACAGCAGGCGTATGTCGAGACGGCGATGAGGAGTGTCATCACTCAGCCGACACACTCCCTTCGAACACAAGTTTATAACAAATATGTGTGGCAGTAAGAAAATTAAACAGCACGGTAATTTATGAATTCGTCCAAAATTTCATCTCCATAGGTGATAATTGAATGAATCTAATTAACGGCATCAAGTCCTAAACAATGAGAACAGAAGAAGCTCCCCCATTCTAAAGGCTGTTGACACCGTAAAAAATTAAAATAGAAATCGATTCAATTCGCAACGCACGATGTATCGAAATAATAACTCACCATGAATTTAGTGTCTCCAAGAGACAAAGTGTCCGTGACTATCTTGTCTTGTTCCAGCAGATTAACGATGCGCGATAACAAGTTCTTGTCCTCAAACTTTTTGCCATGCTTTTCCTTCGCAGTTTTAGGATCTTCCGTAGACGTTGCATTACCGTCTAATGATGATTTAACACAGAGCAGGACATCGATATCTCCACTGGTCTCCTTTCCTCTTCTAAAATAGTGAAAAATCTTTACAGTAAAGGAGTATGGTGAATAACATTTAAAAAAATTAAAAATCATTAACCCTCAAAGGAGAGTTACGAGTGACTTGTAACCAAATATTCTGGCTGTAGCTCATTTATATCGCGAGACTAAAACACTTCTATGTGTATTATTTCGACAAAAATTTGACTCCTGAGGATAATTTGAACCTGCTTTTAAATTATGTGAAAATAAAAGAAGAATGCACCAAGTACAACAGTAATGTTCCAAGCTCATGTCTTGCCAGTAAATGTTGCGTCTAAAATTTAAAGCAACAGAAAAAACTCCTTTCACGAAGCATTGTGAAATGACACGGTCTTTAATAACTAGTGCATCTTGCCAGTAACCTACAAGAGATTTCAAAGAAGAGAATAATCACGTACAAACAGATGACTATCCCGAAGGCCTACCTGTAACTGCCACAAATTGTGAGTGTGATAGGCTCCGGCAAGGCACTCAGGGAGCGACGCAGAGCCCCTTCCAGGGCCTCGATCTCAGCACGGGGGATGCTTTGTTCAAACTCTTCTAAATACCTGCGCATAATTCAGTGCTATGCCATACACTTGCAACAAGCTTTTTCTTCCGCCTTATTAGATTTTTATGTAGGTAGCATTTAAACGAGGACATATGCAGGTATTCATTTGAGATTAATCATCAGTTCAGTTAATCACTAATCAACCGAGTCATCAATTGGTTGTGGCGTAGAAACATTTTCCTGGCGTTGAAACATTCTTGTGAAGGCAGTACTTGACACAAGTTATAATCAAAAACTTACTTAAGGCCTATTCTCTGATGATGCGTCAGTTTCTCAGGATTCCCTCTAAGCTGCTCGATGGTAGTAATGCCTTCATCGTACAGCTGGCGTGCTTTGGTGGGACCAACCCCTGACACGCGGGCCAATTCTTTCAGTGCTGTCGATGTTTCGTCACCTCGAATCTGTTGATACGTAAAACATATTCTTAAAATGGACCTTTCAATTCCAATAGTTTTTAATTTCAGCTTGAAGACGCTAAAATCAATAAATTTAACAAATTAGAACAGACATTGATAATAATCAATTATGATAACTCCTGATTGCTCATTATTCTGTAACTACGATATTGAACCAAGCCATGCATGTATGTTCGTGGCTTATGTGACAAACAATTTTTTAAATAAAATCTACCTAAGTACTTCGAAAAAGAAAGTCTTAAAGAAATTAAAGCTTTTCTTGTAATTAAGTCAAAAAGCAGAAGCACAATTATTGTACCTTTTCCAGCTTTTCCAGCTTGCCTGTAGCTAGAAATTCGTCGATCTTCAGGGCTATTTTCTTGCCAATCCCTTTTAGTTTAGCAGCTTCTTCGCCACTCGCAATGCGCTTCGGGTGAGAAGCCAGCACGGAAGCGGCAGTTTTGTAAGCGTTACTTTTAAACACGTTGCGCCCAACTATGTTCTCGTACTCAGCCAGCTCTGCCACAGTGTTGGATAGTTGTCAGCACTATTAGAGTAGCAAAAGCTCACAAGCAATTTCAGTTAACTAAAAAAAATCGATGAAAAGTTATGAAGAATCAGTATCAGTCATCGGAAACTGTTACCGTTAAAAATGCTAAACGTAGTGTATTGCCAAAATAAAAAAAACGTAAGAAACGACGAGCGATATATTGCCAACATTCAGGCATAGTCATTCGAAATTTTCACAAATAATACCATCAAGTACTTGAAAATATATAATGACCAAAATAGTTCTGAGCGGTAAAAAAGTAATTGCAAATAGGCCTCCTCCGCATAACGTAGTCGAGAAAATCAATCCAACTTAGTTCGATCACATACGCACCCATCAAGAAACTGATTAAGTCTGAGTTCAAGTTGCCTTCGGTGTGAGGAAATTTTCTCGGTGAAGATCCGCTGCTGCTCATGATGTCTGTATTGTCGAGTACGTAGACATAAACGGCAGTTTATTATAGTAATAAGTGGGAATAGGAGAGAATTGTACTAACTGACTACTCATTTGCTCAGCTAAATTTTTAGAACACTAGAAATATAGAGAAATTTAATTATCAATCGAAAAGCTGATTTGCGCATGTATTTAAATTTTAAGGAGTATGCGTGTCGTGATACACAAGTAAAAATTTCAGTAAATATCACCATTCAGGACTCAGGAGTTGAGCATTCTTATATCGGTTCATTCTATAAAAAAAACTCAAATAATTAGCCCAATCAAGCTATGAAAAGCTGCTTACTTTTAAAAATGAAGAAAATTTTCTCACATTCCAACCATGAATAATTATTAAAAAAGCAGAAAATAATACAATGTTTGATAAAAGAAAATAGGATAACACAAGTTCTAGGATTAAGACTCAGATAACTTAGGTAAATAAGTTTTGCCTCTCTTCTTTTCGAGGCAAGAAACATTCTGTATATCTTGAACAGAACGCCATTATTCTGTAGTAATTATTTTTTTTCACAGAAAGATGAACACCTAATCGAGGTAAACTAAACTGATTTTAAAGTTACGATCATTTACAGAGCATTCATCGCATTATTACTTGTTTATTCTAATTAAGCTCTAGATTAATTTCAAGAGCACCTCAACGTGTTTCAACAAAAAAACTCAAGAATAATTCTTGTATCACTTCAGTTGGCAACACTGACTTTCTGTGAGGTTTCTCTGGAGGCGCCTTCATTGCATTTTTTCGGTTATGGCAAAGAATAATTAGCACGACTATCATAATTTTAGAAAATGCTTCATTACACGTCTACTTTTAATATCACTTACCTTCTTTCGGCACTTCTTGAAATTCGATACTATTTTTTATTCGAGTTTAAGGCAAACGTGACTGGCACCCACTACTAGGCTACCATCAGACAATGTTTTAATTCCTCTTGAGAAGAAAAATCTTGAAACTTTTATATCTGATTGGAAATTTTTCAAATAAACGATAAGTTTTCTCTTGAAATACTTAACAACTAAATTTATTTACTGCAAATTGAACCTGTAAGTTGATAGAAGATCAGAGAAAAAGACTTATTATATTTCTTACCTATTTATAATAGGTAACTACCTGCATCAAAACTAATAAATTTATGATCAAAACTGACTTGTTTCTTAAAATTTTGTGCTAGAAAACATTTATTATAGATAAAAGAGACTCAAAGAGAGTGAAGAGACTTACCTATTTTTAAACTTCCTATCAAAATATATATTCAACTTTTAAGTGTGCTTACCAAGTAACAATTTACCATGGAAACTCAAGAAGAAAACCAGGAAGCAAAATGTGAAGGGATTGAAAAATATCCTGAGGCGTTCATAAAAAAATCTAGATACAGACAAAAATTTTCAAGAAACTGGAACAAAGATGATACAATTTCCAAGTGGCTAAAACCAAGCAGTAAAGGAGAAGGCTATGGTTTCTGTGTTGTTTGTAATGTTCATCTCTCCATCAAGGGAGGCAAAAGTGATCTTCTGAAACATGCAGCAGGCAAAAAACATATAATAAGATTTCAGTATAGTCACCCAGAACATACTCAAAAGCTGGAGAGTTTAACAAACACTAACAGTAACACAGATAGTGTTCAAAATATTGCAAGGTAAAGATAAATAATATAATTGATCAGCTTAGCAAAATCTAAATTTAAATTCAGCATAATGTAGAATGTTCATCATGAATAATTGATAATCACTTTCTTTAGTTTCTTAACAAGTTAACCTACATCTAGCCTAAAATTGAATGTTCCTCAATCCTCACCCTCAGTGTCAGACTCCCAACGTCCCAAGATAGTTTGTAAATTCAATGCAGAAGCAAGAGTTAGCATAAATAGTCGGGCATTAATGAACCAAAAATTGCAAGGTCCATTTCCACTTTTCCAGGCCTTCCAATTCATTTAATATGTAACTTTGATTTTTGCTCACCCTAAATTCCACCAATCTATGGACCCGAATTTTAAATCAGTATACCTATATATAATCCCACATAAACTGCCCCCTAGTAAGATATATTAGGAATACTTACAAAATAATATAAATTATAGTATTATACCATACCTGAAATAGTATTAATAAAATTTGTACCTAAATTAATACCTATTGAAAAAGTTTAATGTTTTCTTATCATTCAAAATTTTTGATTTATCTATTCTGTTTAGACAAACAAACAGTTTCATGAAGAAAGCTGTGCTCTAAAATCTAAAATCACTTAGTAAACCTGAAGTTCAGGAGAAAATTGCCTTGAAAAAACTACCTACCTAGCTTATAAAGAATGAAATTTCAAGGTTTGATGTTAGGTTTGCGTTTGTGGAAACAAAAGCAGATATTAGCTGAAAATCATTTGTTTTTTGTTCATTTCATATTTTTTTGTATGAAAAATGATAGGAAAAATGTTACTAATAAGTTACTCTCTGGGCTGGTACAAATCTATTCTTGATAAACAATTTAATATAACTGCTATAATTAAATTAAACTAAACTGAATTCTAAGACTGTGAATGTTTTGTAATCTACTACTCTCCATTATATAGTTAAAAACTCATGGTTGAACTAGTGTAAGGTTGACTCATCAGAAACCAATTTTTGCGGATGTAGTGTGTTGTTTGCTTGATACGTCACTGATCTCAGTGACGTCACGGGCATTGACCAATCACCGAGATGCGATCAAACCAGTCAATCAATTCGTTGTGGGAATGACGGGTTTGTTTACGTTTCTCGATCTACGTGACGTTCAACCATGTTAAAAACTGATGATTGCACATGTGCTTTTATTCAACCGGATTTAAATTTTTATGGTACTTGCGCTTAAAAATGCTGTTAAGTGTAAAAAGTATAGGATATTCAGATTATTAACAGAAGAGGAATTATATTCTCAGATCACGACGCTCAGGAAGAATGGTTGCCCCTGGCACGTCTGATCAAGTAGATCCAACCACAGCAACGCGCAGCCTACCTGTCGATGCCTCGCGCTCGAATGCCGTTGCCAAGGAAATGGGTCAGCTGCTTCTTCAAGGCTACAAAATTGTGCTCAACGTTTGCGAATCATGTGATTGCATTTTGTTGGAAGATCAGCAAGGACTTGCATTCTGCGTTGGTTGTACGCTTGATAACGAGAAGTTTGGTGCGTACTCTTTATTTATATTGATTTTGCATATAAGCAGTATGAATTTAACAATTGCAGGAAAATTGCATGCTTGGAATTTATAGGATATGAATTAAAGATGCAGTTTTATTCCGATATATTGGCTGAATAATTTTCTCTAATTAATTTGCATATGGATTTTGTTAATATATCTCCTTCGTAGTTGCCAGTCCTAACCAGCCTACGCAGAGACAAGGATACTTCGCTCAACTAAAAGACGTAAAAGTTAACAAGCCTCTTGGATCAACGGACTTAAAGTACGTTTCAACTAATTCTCGGTAGGCAGAAATCTGATAATATACATTTTTAAAGTCATCATCTCAATTGAAATATTTTTCGAATTTTACAAATTTTTTTGGTAATTTGATCTTTTTCTATACAGTGATTCGATTTGATTAGTAACAATCAAGTAATTTTAGGAGTTGGGAAGTTGATCTAGTCGGATTTATCAATTAAATTACAAAATATCATCCTTCATGTGGTATCGAAGATTTTTGAACAGCTCCGACACTTTCGGGACGAATTGTTAGCGCTATTTTTTTCAAGCTAAACTTAGTAAAATCGAAACCAATCTTGACCAAATTAACAACAAAGCAGTTTATTGATAATACGAAATTACGAGAGTTGTCTTATTTCCTTTTTATCCCCTTAGTTTTTATTTAGCGCACTCAACGCTAAGGTTTTTACTTTTAGCAAACTTTCCTCGCATTCCTTTGACATATCGAAACTGATCCGGGTCTAATTAAGAACAAAGCTATTTTTCATCACAGGAGCACTAAAAGTTCGTTCCAAAAGTGTCGAAGGGTGATTTTTGTAATTTTTTTTTTCGAACAACATGTTTATTTTAGGGTTTTCATAGTGATGAGCAAAGGCTGTACCAAGCAGGCTGATAAGCAAAGGTGTTGGCCACCATGTGGTGGCCAAGACTCATACAAGATATTTAATAACGATTGCAATTCATCATTCGGATATTTATCATTAGAACAATTCACCGTAAATATCATCATTGCATTAAGTACATTTTGCAAACATGTAACATGTAGGTTAGGTTAGGTAATGTTAAATTGGTAAAGGATGAATTGATGAAATGTCCCAATGATGAAATGCTAAAATGATGAAATGTCTCGTATGATGCGATGTCAAAGAACCGTATTATATGATAAAGAAAACCTCGTGCTGATAAAATGTATGCTATATGAAAAATATGTCGCGTTGTGCCAACATTTTTAATATATTGTGACTGCTATGAACGCCACTGTCATGCCTGAATACGACTGAGAACTACTGCATTTTATGTTAATGGCAAACTGTTAAAAAAATTCACATTCCAGAGTAATGGTGCACGGAGTCGATCTCTCGGAAGAACTGCATGAAGCAATTGCTGCTCTCAAGAATAAACTTCGCCTCCTGAGTCAACGGCTATATTCTATTGATGACCATTTAGAATTATCAGAGTGTTTAAAATCAATGTCATCCATTGCCATAGTGATAGAAAGATATAGACAAATAATGTAGTAGGTGATTAATGTGTTCATTGAGGTATAAAATGTGATCATTACGGTCTTAGCGCCAGAAAAATTTGCCTCACATACTGATACAGCCGTTAACCAATTAACAAGTGAATTCTTTTCTATTGTTACATGGAATGTCATTATTAATGAATCTAACACAAAATATGCCAGCTGCTGAATCATTATTTTTCCTTTCTTACATATTTATCGAAAAAAATTCTGAACATTGTTTTGACTTTTTCCACATTTTTATTACGGATCGATTTCAAGCTCAGTCAATGAGCCACGACGGTCTACCTTTTAAAAGTAAAAGAAAAGGTTTATAACAGCACATCAGATCATTTCACATAGAACAAAGATTTTTTGGCGTAATAATAAATAAAACAGAAACTACTACGTCCAGAATGCACGCAGAAAAGAGCAAATAAATAAACCGGTATAAACTCAAGAAACTTCATTTTAGTAAAAGCTTGAGACGCAAAGGTACTATTTGTTTTCCAATATAGAGAATTTCAAATTATTTCCTACATTAGAACGCAATGCGAGACGAAATACGGAGAGGATCGGGCGTGAATGATGAATCCAACAACAGCTTTGATGATTATTTTCTATTTAGTCGGAAGTGCTCAGTTAACACTCAGCAATCAGCAGGTAATAGAATTGGAATTATCATAATGAATAATAGAATTTCTAGTTTGGCTTTGTGTTGGGATCAATGCAGGGTTACTGACAAAAGATCTTCCCCCAGACGATTAAATTAAAGACGCCATTTAGGGTATATGATTCTGAAATGCAAAAGACGCTGAAGTGGCGAACGACTAATCCATGCAAAGCCGCGGCAGAACGAATTCCGCGGCCTGGGCCTATACTTTCAAAGAAAGTTAAGAGATCGTAAGTTCATCAGCCAATCATTGACGGCCTTTCAAGCAAAATCCACCAATCATAGACAAGAATATAATTAAAAATTAATTTTTTTAATATTTAATAATAAAATTAGAAATTCATTGTACAGGTGTAACACCGGAGACGCTGGATTCTTTAGAAGTGTTGTTTGTAAAAAGTACTTTTGTAATGCATATTTTTTGGATTTCTTTCGTTGGTTCCATCTCTGTGCTCCAAAGAACTGGGACAACATTTGAAGATCGGTTTCTTAGTTTAGGTCACGCTGTCAAGAAAATCCATTATTTTTAAGTTAACTTAACTAACTAGGAACAGAATCCCGGAATTAGCTCCAACAACAAGAGGATACATAATTATCAGGCATTTCTCTAAAAGTTATTCCCATAGTCCATAACTTATCATCCGGTCAGTGATACCTTCGGAACATCAACACGGTCAATAAATTAGCCGCACAAGTTTATAGTCGTATTCAAAGAAGTCGCAATCGATTGGTACCTTGCTAGCACAATATATATTACGCTTCTCAATGCCAAATCGATCGTTATTAAGAAACATGAATTATAAGTAGAACCCTAAATTATTCAATTATGGAACTCTCGTGAAGAAGTTCATATTTTTTAAATAGAGTAAACTTGAGATTGGCTAATATCCTTTGTATATTCGAGCTCTCCGCTAATTTGCAGAAGTGCATAAAATCTAAAACAACCTTCGGCAAAGTTGGCCATAGTTGTACAATGTGCTCTGCAATTTTGGACAAGTAAATTTTGCTAGGTGGTTTAACTGTTACTGTTCCCGAATCCATTTCCAGAAACTTTCATAACAAGGATTACCCTGAATACTGTGAAAATTGCTTGGGTTTATAACTAATTTGACGAGAGCTAAAATTGCTTCAGAGTCTGAAACAATTATTTTCAATAATATGTATTAAATATCCTCCATTTCATCTCTGCGAACAGCTGAATTATATTATAATGGAGTTTTTTTTTCATATTTCATCACTTTGCACTTACTGTTGTCAGTGAATATGGAGATACGACAGCTGACAAAACCCAATAGTGGTGGTAATTTTGTTTCAAATGCTATGGAACAGGTAACTAAAGTTGATAAAATATGAAAGAATGTGGTTCATATTTTATAGGGCAGGGTGGCCCAATGGTTACACTTCAGAGTACCAGGATTGGCGCAGAAAGATGCGGGTTCGATCCTAGCCCTGTGCGCCAGTTTCTGGTCAGAATCGGCAAGGAGACCGGGCGGTTAACTATATAGTAGTCAGAATGCAGCGAAGTCTGAGAGCGAGTTTGTCGCGACCATCGCGTGAACTACTGGCTCTGCTCGAAGCTCGGCCAGTCGCTACCCTCGAGCTTGTACTCTTTGTAATATGATATCCTAGACAGACCCTTTTTCGCGGCAACTGGACGCTTTCAGGTGGCCGAGGAATGCCAGCTGTCGGCTATAACTAATTGGGCTAGGCCGACCACTGGCCACGTGTTATTCCTCGCCCCTCGTTGGGTTCGCCTTCACCATGTCGCCCGTCGTGAACTGACAGTCCAGTAATTTACGGCGTCTCTATCCCCTCGTACCTTCCACAACGCCTCCATTTGAGCAGTTAGTATGCGGGATTTTCAATCCGCGTATCAGCAGGCTCGTTACTATTTTTTTATAGGCTCGTTAATATTTTTTGGTAGAAAATATCTACAACAAAGAGGCTGATCAAGGAATGCCGAGTATACCATTCAATTGAGGATAAAAATTACAACCCGCTTATACCTCGAAAAAGTGTAAAAGTCGCAGACTTGATGAACAATTATATTCAAGGTTTCTCGAAATTTCTTTCCATTACAACTCTTTTAATAATTTTAATTTTAATACAAAGTTTACATATTTTTTGTTCCTGTTCACCGTTTCTAAATAAATAGCTAAGTAAACATGGAAAAATCCATATCGCCATCTCATTTGCGAGTGGATAAATGTACATCCTAATTTGTTAAGAAACTTATAGGGAAGAGCAGAGATTCGGGCTCGCCAAGCTCCCGCGTATCCACGTTAGCCGCGTTGCTACGCCGCCATCTTTGTATCACACTGGCGCCTCAGCTTACTCTCTCGTTCCTATACATTTGAACGTTTTGGTAGCAATGGAGAAAGAAAGAACAAAGCAGAAAGGATTAGGCTGTTGTCAAAAACTCCTTCCTTCAGTGAGAGACCGATATTCAAGAAAACTGTTCGACATTAACGATGTTGATGCCAACGAAGTGCCGGCAAAGCCGTGATGTGCAAATTTTGCAAGCCTACCTCCCGTTTAACACGGTGATTTACTAAACTATTTGGTGTTTGGTGGTCAGCCAATACACCTTGCAAGAATTCAAGGCATACAAGACGCTTGAAGCTTACACACAATTTGTGGATGGATGGGTACAGGCGATGGAGAAACGAAACTTCAGTGAATCAAGAAAGGCGATGTACTTCAGTACTTGGTAGAGTTATTGGTAGTACAACTGGACGAAGATAATGATGCGGATGAATGGAACTTTATAAGAATGGAAAATGAAATTCCTTTTCACCTTTTTGAAGAGGAAAAATATAGAATTTTATCAATGCTTACCAGGTAACCAGGGTTAGGACGGCTCATAGTAATACCGATCCCGATATTGGACGCGCTCATGAACTGACCAACAACACACCAATTCACCAGAAACCTCGACGTTTTGCAAAACCAATTTAAATTGAAATTGAAAGGCAAAGTAGAGAACTCGAAACATTTGATGTTATAGATCAAAGCGAATCATTTTGATCTTCCAACAAACCAGCCAAATGCAACAACACTATCGTCGCTGCAGGATAATGGATCATGACAATGTTATCTGATCTGTAAATATTATTACGTTTTATTCTTACTAATGTAGCTTATCTAAAGGCAAGTAACAGATTTTGCTCCTGGAAAATGTATAGTATCGTATATTGGTATATAATATATATTCACGGCAGGTAAACTGATATGCGATACGTATATCAGTACGAGCCATTAACTGATACGATATACACGGCATTCACGGCTAGTAAACTGAATAAACGCATTCCATTGTAAAGTTTTCTGTTTATATGGCCGTGAGAATGACTGGTACATCCTACAACGGTGCAGTAGCGTCCCATCTCCAAGCANCGTCATCTTTCTGGAACCATCTTTCTCGAACTTTAAAATGCCTTGCTGTCCCGCTCCGAGGCGTTGAGCCGGCGGATGCCATGGTACGACCAGCTAAAGTGAAGTTTAACTCCTGAACACCTATAAATGCTCCCAACAAAAGGCCGACATGATGGCGACATCTACTGCCAAATTTCGTTACAAAGATTTTAAGATGCCTCCATGTGTGGTTAGTACCCCTGGGTTCGTGGTTAGTGCCCTGTGCCCTCAGGTCACCAGGTGAGACCGTGAGTGGTTAGGGGAGTGGGGCTCTCTGCCCTGGAGTGGGGCTCTCTTCCCTGGAGTGGGGCCCTCTGCCCCGGCGTGGGGCTCTCCACACCAGTGTGGTCTCCACTTTGGTGGCCCCATTCTGTAGTCATTCAGGCTTTCAGCCTTCGAGAAACATTGGACAACTCTTTAGAACACCTAAATTCCTAGCTGAAAAATAATGTTCCTTAAATTTTTTATAAACTGTCCTGTCATGGGGCCACATTGAACTAGTCTTCAGAGGCTCCCATAAACTGTGATTAAAGAAGAGGAAGAAGTCAATGCCGATAACCTCGCTAACAGCACTTGAATAACCGGCTTTCAATAATCAATAAAAACTATTTTTTATAAACAAACTGAACTACATGTCTACGTCTTTCTAGCGCGATCAAAACAGTTTTTAGCATATTTTCTCATTTATGGAAAAAAATGCATTATTGTGCTTGCCATGTCCGTCCGTCTGTCTGTCCGTCCATAGGATAGTGCTGAAAACTGCTGATGCTGAAGATATGTTAATGGAGAAAATTTTCTGTTGCGTTCCGGCTTTGAGTTAATTTTTAAGTAGGTAGCTAGGTACTGATGTACTGTCCTATAAGTAGACTAGTAACTGTAGTTGTAGTGAGTATATTGGATATCAGCATTATCATAATTCATACATAAGAATTTAAGAAATTGATTCAAATATGGAGTACCTAGCCTAAATGAGGGAATTAAAAATGAGACGATTCTAAAAAAAATCTGGTTTGTTAATGTTATCATCATAGTAACAACTAACAAACCAGACATGGTAATAGGCTACCTACCATGCTCCATGATCTCAATTTCTACCATGGCCAAAAAATGTAGTAGTTTTGGAAAATTTTTGATGTTAAATCACTTAAATGTGCTTTTAAGTGCCAAAATTTTAAAATTTATAAAGATGTTTTGTAGTGCCAAGTGTCAATTGCTTAAGGAAAAGTGTTATATTTTATAAAAAAAAAATTCATTTCACATTTTATGACATTGATTTCATATTGATTCTGCAGGCAGCAGGAATGGAATTTCCCTACCTAATAGGCGATAGCTTAATACTGAGGTCTCTGAACTCAGACTCAGTCTGAACTGAAGTAACAAATTTTCAAGACATCTGCCAATACTAGGGTAAACGCGGTATATTCCGACATCGTGGGTAATTCTGACACCTCGTCTTTTTTCCTTTATATTAAGCTTTTTCTTAGTTCCATGCATTCGTTGATGGTTGAAATAGTGACGTCATACTTTTGCGCGCAATACTATTGCCAAAACACTAGGTCTGGGCCATCTGGTGGGAAAATGTTGAGATCCAAAGAGAGACAGTGCACGTCAGTGAGAACATCAAAAAATGTGTTAACGTTGATGGTTGACCTTGCTCTACCAAATAGTGATAAACTGTTTGTGTAGAAAGAATATTATGGTTTGAGACTTTTAAATATGTCTGTCAATATATTAGGAATCCTTTAAGTATACTTGTATTTGCTGATTTCAAGTGGTAAAAAAATTAATAGATGATTAGGTTAAGAGACGGTTTTAGACACATAAAAACTAATTCTGACACAGCTTGGAATTAGACACACACAGCTCATTCCAAGCTTTTTGGTAGGTTTGCATTCTAAAGGCTTTTAAATAAATATGGCAACATTTTGTGACGTTTCATTGTTGCTGGCGCGTAGTGCGGTGTTTTGAGAGTGACGTAAAGCAAACAGAACTTGAGTTGTGTGTACGGTGTATTTTTTATAGCCATTCATTTTTTGCTACGTCCTTAAAGTGTTAAAGTGTCGGAATATACCGCATTTATCCTACAGGCTACTGCTATTAGTAATTACCATTGATGCCACTAATCTTGCCAGCAGCCCCTGAGTCACCAGCCAGTCATAGTGGCAAACCAGTGATTTTTTAGAAGCAGTTCATTTTTAATTTTCTCATTTACTCAAGACTTAAAAATATATCTTATGTATGATGATGCTGGTATTGGTATCCATGATACCTTACTGGTCTACTTATAGGACTTAAAATTGAACTTGAAGGAGAGTCTAAAAAACATTCTGCTTTGCCACTATGATCCAGCCTTCAATAGAAATGATCTATTTATAAACAAAACTAAACTACATTTTTCTAGCACAATCAAAACAGCTTCATAGTCATGTGGTTATCAAGCTATAAAAATCATAGTTCTGACTAATGACCATGACCACTATTATATGGTTTTCAGGTTTTCAGTGGCAGGCAGCAAAAGTATGAGCAGTTTTTGCGGTGTGGCAACTTATGTTGCACTGACAATACATAGAACCTTGGCACCGTGTCACCTGATTGTTTGCTCATGTTAACTATTAAATGTATGGAGGTAATTCATTTTGGGTGAAGCTTGCAGTTCAAAAAATGGCAAGAAGGCCATAGTTATGGTTTGGAAGGGTAAGTGTTTAGAATCATCATACTGTGGTATGGTGATTCTTAGAAAAACCTAGTTACTCAGTTGTGCTGAATCAATTTTCTCTGCACTTTTTAAAGCACTTCTTGCAACATGATTCTATTGACAAATATGGGTAATTAAAATTTACAATCTACTTAATTTATGGCAAAATAATTATTAGAACTCCAGAAATACTTGAGGCATGAGATATAATAGAAACATAGAAAATAAAGAAAATTAAATTGGCCAATCATTTGGAAAAAATTTCTCTGTAGTTGCCATATAATTTTATATATCTATCTCATTGTACATGGCTATTTTGTTGCCAGGTATTAGATCCTAATGTTGATTATTGTCAACATTTATATATTATTTTAATGGGTTTGTTGATCTCGTGAAAAGTCATAAAGGTAATTTGCTTCCATTTTTTTTCTTAGTCTGATACAATGCTATGTTGCTCATGGCAACACAAAAAAAACATATATAATACTAGTATTAAGCTTCACTTATGATATGTGTCTCATAGGGTATAGCGTTGTTGGACCTATTTTAGCTAAAAAGCATATAGGTACATTTTGAACGAGAAGAAATTTACTAAAATAAATTCTGTGTGTTGTGCTGGTTGTAGATTTTAAAGTGAGTTTGAAATGAATCTAGATGATGTCCTTGCAACTAATTAATTTAATGAAAAATTGTATTCTCAGCCACTTGCCATGCACGACCTGCACTTGTGCTGTGATTTGTTGGTAGCTAGCCTGCAGCTTAGTCAGACCAGCATGACTTTAACTGCATAGACTCAGAAGACAATATTCTTCATGGAAACTTGACAGTTTTGTTAGCTTGGGACAACCATGGCTTTGTTGTTGATGTATCCCTATTTAGCTAAAACAGATTGCAAAATTTCTTTCAATGTAGCTGATTTATGTCAAAACAGTTTTATATGAAGTAGGTACCGGTAGCTACTAATATCAAACATAAAGACTTGATCTAGTTTATGGATCTGAAGTTTTAGTCAAAATTACAAAAAAATATTTAATTTAGACTTTTAACCTTGCAAATTCAAAAGTTCATTAGTCTAAATTTGATGGGTCAATTGTTAATTCAGTTGCAAGGATTGCTTGAATTGTGTGTGATTTAAAAAATTTAATGAATTCTTTTCTTTTTCCTCCCATTGATGATTTATGACTTGCTAGCATTCTCTAACCCAAGCATTTGAATGATCTAGCAAGTCTTGTGGTTCAAATTGTTATGCTTATGCTCCTTATAAAATCTCTAATAAATGTCTTCTTTCTGCTACAGAGTAATCAACAGTGTTTGAAGTAGGAGCATGGCGGTTAGACTAAAATCAGTAATAACTATTCCCATTCATAGAATGGCAAGATTTCCCTACTATAAATCGAATTTGTATCCTTGCACCGAAAAACTGTTGCGATGTATTTCTTCAACGCCTCGTGAGTTGCAGGGTGCTCCATTGAAGCCTGTGTTATTGAATGGCTTTCAACGAACATTGTTGAGTATCGGCGCTGCAGCCATGGCTGTCACTGATCCCACTAGGCACGACATGGTGGCTACCCTCGGTGAAACCACGGGACACAAAGCCCTCGTAAGGATTCATCAAAAAATGCTCCAGGATGAAGAAGGCCGGCTTGTGCTGCAGGATAAGCCTCGGATTAGCAGTTCCACTGTAAACCTGCCTGCCCTAAGATCACTGCCAGAAGGAACACTCGGCAAATGCTACACCAATTTCTTGGACAACAACAAAGTTACTCCTGACTCGCGCTGCACAGTTCTTTTCATTGAAGATGTAGAGCTTCGTTATGTGATGCAACGTTATAGGGAAGTGCATGATCTCTTCCATTCTCTGCTGGGTATGCCCACTAACATGCTAGGCGAAGTAGCTGTCAAGTGGGTAGAAGCGCTACAGACAGGATTACCCATGTGTGCCGGCGCAGCTATTTTTGGTCCCATTAGATTCAAACCCAAGCAGCGGAGCAAATATGCTACGCAATACCTCCCATGGGCGGTCAAAGTTGGCAGCGAGTCAAAACCCCTCATGAACATTTACTACGAGAAACGATGGGAGCAACAAGTAGAGGATTTGAGGCGAGAGTTGAATATATCGCCCTTCATGATTTAATAGCTTCAAGTAAACAAATGTCTGATGGTATTTGTACACAGTGTGTTATGTTGATCTTGTTTTTAACTGTATGAATGAATGCCAAGTATATTTACTGTGATTTGCCTAAAGCTTCGTTTTTCCTGTTCAACATGGATATTTTTGATGACTTTATCGCGTTGTCAATTTATGCACTTAGATTTATAAATATGTTATGTTGTATTTAGTTTTTGAAAGGAGCGTGAATCATTATTATTACGTATATTTTTTTTGCATTAGACAACTTTATATACTGTGTAAGTATGTAAGTAAGTAATTCTAAGTCGGGGAATCTGTTAGGGCAATGGTATACATTCCCTGTGGTGTGATGCCCTTAGATGAAGTTTGATGTTAGTTGGTATTTTTAAAGATTTATGTCTTATTGAAAGAAGTGCTGATTTGTTGCTTCCTTTTAGTCATACTTGTAAGATGGTTAATTTTTCAAACGTGAGTTTGCTGAGAGCAGTGAAATATCTGTCACAATGGCAAGTTATCACCAGTTCAAAATTCTGTGTTCTAGTGAGCATTTAGCTTTCGATACGATGAAGTGTGATTCCTACACAACTCTTTAGAGGCGCCTGGAATTAGCAGTGACTGCTCTGTTGTCGCAAAATCTTCGTGCAATGTTAGAGTTATTTAGAAAAACTACGGATAACGCCCAGCCGCCTCCTCCTGCCCCATCATGGGCTCAAATGGAAGAAGACTTGCGCAGGGCCGCGCCTTCTGACATCGTCTTCGGCAACATGGCTGCTCTCGACCATCGAAGTATGTATCACAAACTAAGATCATTGGTATAAAATCTGCATTTGTAAGACATTAATATTACTGCAATACATTGTTATTACTGCATTTTGTTGTCGCACTTATTTTGGAACAGTTTCTAAATTGAAAAAATTGCTATCATGTTGTTAAAGAGTGTCAGGTCATTACTGCTTATGCTTATTATGTCATTACTGCTTAGATGTGAAGTAAATTTTTAAAAATTATTTATTGAGTAATGAAAAAATCTTATACTAGGTCGAGGGTCCTCAAGCTACTTACTGGAAAATCTCATATTTAGTACAATTCGACCTTCTGATTTCTCGTGAGCTTTAATTCTTAGGATATGATTTACAAACGAGCTCAATATTGACCTTAAATGCAGCTGAACAGATTCCAATACCGTAATTTTCCAGATGAAGAGGCTGATGCAAACTGCGATGAAGAATCGGTTGCTGTTTTCCAAACGAGCCGAAAGCTTTTTCTCGCCAATAGGAGGTGTGTAAAGTTACTGAGTTTTTCTGAGTTGTTCTGCTGTTGATTTATTTTTTCCCGACTTTCAACGTACTCGCGTAACTTGAAATCTAGAATATTAATAAAATTTCTTGGGAATGCCTATGCACCTGTTTTCAAGTCTCAAATTTGTTTTATTAGGAAACGAATCTATCTGCGTGTTTCTTAAGGAAAGGAAACTTGTACCAGAGAATTTTGTATTTTACTCACAACTTCAGAGATTTTTCCCTAACGTTCGAAATTTCACGTTTTCTTGAAGCAGTTTTTCTCTTTTAAAAATTCTTAGAAGATACGAAGGAATGTAGTTTAGTTTGCTATTTGATTATGACGTGAATCGTTGACGAGTCGGTAGAACAAGTAGGCAGAATCGAATTCGTTAACTTACGCTCGACCATCTGCCCACATTGCAGATTTTCGTACTGTACCAAATTTCTTAAGGTAAATTATAGCCAGTTGTCCATCACACAATGTAATCATTGCCGTTACTGCACGTGATAATTTGATCAGATAGTAAGATTGTATCAGATTTTCATTTGTATAGGATGGCAATAAATTGCTATATGCTTCATTCTTCTCCCTCAGTCTGGAGAAAAGCAGCCAGGTGCTGAGCGAACGGGAGGACAGCTTGCGTTCGAGCGCCGCGAGTCTACGCAGTTTGGTGGCAGACGTACGAGACAAAGCGCGCGGTGCTCTGCTTGCCAGCAGCGCCTCTCTCAGCTTGCCAATTAATTCTGGCGCCACTGCGACGAAACCGGATCAGCTGTAGATCGTTAGACAACAGCCTTAGTAGTATGTTGCGGAGGTGGCAGGCCCAGGCCACGATGGAACGCCGCGTCTTTTACCGGATCAATCTAAGTTTGCTATAAAACTTTGGCGTGGATATTTGAAGAATGTTTGTTCTATATAAATTTTATTACATTTCATAATGTTATGTAGTTTCTTTCCACTCTTCGTCGGTAGAAAGATGAGGCAGGCTGCGTGCAAAGTATTAGTTTGATGTTCATGAGATATTAAAATGTAGTTCACAACTTTCAAATTCAACATCAATGTGAAAACTGCATGCATCTCGTTGTTGGGCATAAACTATTGCATGCAATCTTGTGGCAGCTCTGAACCTAAAGATAAGCCCCGGGATTGCCGGAACACGTGTATCTTCAAGTGCTCTGCACGCACGTCACCCGTCAGTGTAGATTTTGCAAGCAGGATAAAGAAAAAATTTGAAATTAAATGTTACTCAAGGGAAATGGAGAATGTAATCAAGGTTAGAATTTATTTTTTGGTCTTTTTCTTCACAATTTTGACGGTAGACTTGGCTGGACTATTTTTCTTTATGAGCACAAGGCTTCTACGCGCTGGCACCTCGCTTTCTTTTAGTGTGCGCTGCGTACCTCGAGGCTTGAGGGTTGTGTTCTTCACAAGCGCCGTTTTCTTCTCGTTGCTTTCAGCAGCCGGCTCCTTGTAATGGAAAGTCAGTGTAACGTAATATTACAAGTATTTCACGAACGAGTTTTAGTTGAGTAAACTGTATCTTATGTTTGAAACATTCACTGAGTAGCCATGTTATATTGATATTTTCAACAGTAAGTAGAAGTGGAACTTAAGTTCCGAAGTGGTTAAATTATGCCATCTTTGAGCTAAACCAATAGTATTCACCACCAAAATGTGTCGGGAAGTTTCTAATGGCCAAATACTTCCGAACTCTGTCTAGATAACTTTCCCCTAAAGCGGAGATCTTTCTTTGACATTTCGCGCTCAATTACTGATAATCTCGGCGTTCAAGGATATCCTAGAGCAAGAGAAATTATTTGTTTGATGACTGATGGAGTATTACTGTTGCTGTACTTACCAAAACTGAAATATATACAACTTAATACATTATATCAGGTTACCCTATTTTATAATTATTAGAATCGAATGTAAGAAATTTCAAGTGAGTTTTAAATATATCTTTAAACTTGATAAACCACCTCATTTTCGTTCCGACTCACCTTAATTCCAAGATCATTGCAGTTGATTTCAGAGCGAGACAATTTTTCTATCTGCTTTCGAGCCAGTGCTTGTCGCTTCTTGAGTAGTTTTTTCTCTCTCAGGTCACTCCGTTTGGTATTGTTTAGCTGAAACAAAAATAATACTAGTCCTTTAGTGTGTGGTAGATGTTGGAATCATTTTCTGAGTTCTACTTGAGTAACAAACGTCAGCAGAAAAAATTTGATTTCAACCTGTCAACATCGTATACATGCTTATGAGTATATTTATCTAGCGCTAGTGTTACCGATTTCAGTAAAGTTATTTTCAATCTGAAATGCAACCTAATTCTTCGTTCATCTTCACTGTAATATTTAGATACTCAATAAATTAGACTTGGTTATTTCGTTTCATCATTCTTGTTGTCAAAACTTGAAAACGGGATTCATGTGGAAGTTACCTAATTATTCATTACAAAACGGTAGCATTTCGTCTGTCTAACACAACAAAAAGCTCAAATCAATAAGATATGTTCTGTTCTATGAAATAATATTCGTCAACACATAATCAAGCAAAGCCATCTGCATTTGTAATAGACAATATGCAACATTAAATTACAAGCGAAAATGACAGGATTAAAACGAACATTGCTTTCATGACCACAAGTTGCAAGTTTAAAGGGAAGAGAACCGTGTTGATTGCTAGGTGAGGAGAATGAGTTACAAGAACTTACTTTGTCAATATTCTTCTTAATTCTTCTGTGGTATCCACGATCGCCCATTGAAAAAAATGATTCTTTGACGAACCGCCCTGGGATGAGTCGACCTGAAAAGCACCTCGTACATTAAACACAGAACTGACCACATCAGACGTACTAGAGCAGCATATGCAGTGCTGGTGTGTAGTATGGTATAGTACGTATAGCGCTACGTACTATACTATACGTAGTAGTATAGTATAGTACGGCACTGAAGGATAGGCATGTCGCCGATTCTTGTATGTACTTTTCTTGACGAGACAAAAATGACAAAAAAAATGTATACGACATTCTGATGGAAAGGTTGTACTATTTACAAACCTAAGTAGAAGTGGATCCTTTTTGTATTTTTAGCGCATTTTCTCATTTATGGAAAAAAATGCACTATTGTGCTCGCCATGTCCGTCCGTCTGTCCGTGACCTCAAGTTTTCGTCGACGAGTGAGTACCGAGTTATATTTTATAACCCATTCATACACAGTGCGTAAACGATGTCGAAGGGGAGTCTTGTCAAATTCTTTTCTAGCGTGTTCGTAAATATTCAACTATCGTCGACTCCTTTTTTGTAATTACTCTTGATATATATTATTATCAAATAATTAACAATATATTGGAACTTTTATTTTTTAATGACTTCACTCATATAAATATGATGAGATTTCAATACCAAGTGAAAAACAAATGAAAAAATTAAAAGTCTCATTTCAAGACGGTTCCAGAAACCTTTTCAATGAGAACTAATAGAATAGACGTGTCGGCGCTGAAGAAATGGGCCCATGGCCTGTTGCCGATTCTTGTACTTTTCGTGACGTGATTCACGGGAGATCTAAAAATCGGCGTCATGACCTTGATCTTTTCATAACTGACGTTGGTTTGTGATAGCAACTGGACTTATTACCACCAGGTCCGTAAGGTGTTAGGCATTTCAAAACTGAAAATATGCTCCTGCATAGCTTCGTCTAGTCTGTTCTTGAACGCGTTCATACTCGGAGCGTCAATGATGTCATCGGGGAGGCTGTTCCGTATGTCGGTGACTCGCAGCGTGAAGAAATGTTGTCGCATGGATGTATCGCACCGCAGTTTTTTTTAGTTTGTAGCCGTGGCCTCTGGTGTTGGTTCTTGTTTCACGTTCTAGTAATCCTTATGGGACCTTGTATAATCCGTGGGTATACTTGTATACTTCAATGAGGTCACCACGCAGACGTCGATAACAGAGGCTTGGAAGCTTCATAATCTTTAACCTTTCTTCATAAGGCTTGCTTTTTAATCCCGGAATTATCCTTGTACGTCATTGAACACTCTTGACTAAATTTGTGTCCTTTTCATGTTTTCGTGACCATACGGCGTTTCCTAACTCTAGGCTCGGACGCACGACAGCGACAAACAACAGTTTCATTGCTTCTGCATCTAGGTACTCTTAGGAGCGTCTCATCAGTCGAAGCCATTTATTAGCTGTATCAACTTGCGCTTCAATATGCTTAGAAAATTTCAACTCATTCATGAAACAAATTCCTAAATCTTGATTTATTGCCGACTTCGCAATCATTACTCTCTCATTGCAACCATGTATTCTCGAGAATACTGTAATCTTGCTGTTCATTGTTCTTACCAAGATGAATTACTTTACACTTTTCAAAACTAAAATGCAGCTGCCACGTATCAGATTAGTAAACCAATCTGTCAAGATCATCTTGCAACTGTCCATTTTTCGATGCATCCTTCACTGTATTATAAACTTTTGTGTCGTCAGCATACATCGAGCAAACGCTAGAAACAGCTGGTAGATAGTTTTAAAATGCAACGATTATAACATGCCCGAGAATGCATCCATGTGGCACACCGCTGCGCACTGAAGCCCAATCGGATACGCGCCCGTTAGTACTGACACGTTATCGTCTACCTACTAGAAAATCTCTGATCCATTTGAGTACATTACTCTCTATTCCCAAAGACTTTACTTTACGCAAGAGCCGCTCATGCGGAACACTGTCAAATGCCTTGGCAAAATCGAGTTACTGAATCCATTAGCTCCCTTTAGTCCAGCAGGCGGGTCCAATCATTCAAAGTAGAAAAGAGGATAGTGATGCAGGCTCTACCGGCAATAATTCCATGTTGACAGTCTGATAGGAGATGATTAACCGTCAAATGATCGATCAATCGAACCCTCACGACAGATTCCATTGCCTTACAGACAGCAGTTGTCTAACTGACAAGGCGATAGTTTCCCGGGCAACTCTTGTCACCTTTTTTGAACAATGGCGTCACTTTAGCTTCTTTCCAATTGGCCGGCTAAGTCTTAATGAAGTCAATACTGCAGTGAATCACAAGTACACAAGTATATACAGCACAAATAAACGCGAAACAAAAGCAGTCAAACAGTAATGCAACCTGAAGAAGATTTCATGCATAGAATTAATTTGAAAAATGGTCTTGCCTCAAAGAAATCCTCCATCATAATACATTAATCTGTGCACTTCAAGATTTAAATTTGATGAAGAAAGAACTGAAAAAGAGTCACTACTCACACTTGAGCACACTGCCTGTGATGAGGTGGTTGTTCATAGTCTGCGCAGCAATGCGGGCAACTTCTGACAGCCTGAAATGAACATAGCCATACCCACGGGTGCGACCAGTCTGAGGACCAAGAACGAACCAACAGTTAAATTTTTTTTACAGTGCATAAAGTAGAACAAGCTTAGAAGATATTTAAAAATCAATCGAAAAATATATCTCAACTTGAAAAAACAAAAACATTTCTCAGTAAATATAAAAAACATGCACTAATTCGGATATACACAAATTAAACCAAGTCCTCTTTAAAATACGAATCATATTCTAAATTGAAGTATATATAGTCGAGTTTCAGTCACTAGCTGGACAGGATTGGAAACTTTACCAGACAGGGGTGATGAATCTGTACAAAATTGCGTCCGGTTATATACTCTGTAATTAGCTTATACTTAAAACCGGACGCAAAAAAAAAAAATGAACTACAGAAATAAATGAACCTTGTTAAAGTTAGAGATAAGTGTGTATAATACACTTCTTAACATTGCTAGACACCTTAATGCAGAGGTTAGGTTCAGTCAGGTCAAGTTCTTTTTACCTTTTTTTTACAATTTTACAAAGGTCATTGGGTACAAAAATGTTCATAGTCCGGAAAAGTGTAACCTATGTCAGGCAATTGTGATACAATTTTGAGTGAATTCTGCGACACAAGGTAATTGTGCAACAAAATCGTGTCACACCATATTTTTGGCAACTAGTTTGTTAAAGTTAGCAACATTTGAGCAACACCAAAAAGATGAATGCAATTCTGTGATATGCTTTTTAACGGTTAGTTTGTAGAATTTTCGCAACTATAACTATTTGGCATTTTCAAACCCTATCTAAATTAAAAAAAAAATTGACCTGACTAAACCTAACTTCTGTAGGGTTAGTCCTAACCCTGAACTATCACTTCTTACTACACTAACCCTAACCTAATGAGGTTGGCGTTAAGAAGCATGTCGCAGAATTGCATCTTAAAATGGTCTCAAAATTGCTCAAACTGATATATATACTTCTAATATAAAATTAATATTAGAAAGAAGATCCAGTAATTCTCAGAAAAAATTGCAAGGTGTTTGGCTTGGTACTAAAAATACAGTTTATAGGTATATTTGCTCAAGTTTAGTTGCATTCATAGATAGGTAATCTTTCAACAATAATGATAACTATGTTGAATAAATTAGTCACAAGCAGCATTCATGAATGATTAACACATTTTTTTTCAGAGCAATTTTTTGCCTAGCATTTTGAGACAAAGAATCAACAAAACGATATAAAGAAAACGCACTAGCTTGCTTTATCTTGCTTGAAAATGCACTATTTTTAAAGCACTATCTTGCTGAAACTGGGAATTATTATTACAGAAAATTGTCACTGAAAATGAATTAGCTTGTGCTTACTTTTGGGCAGGTGTGGACTCTGCAGCGCATGACTTCACCAAATTGCTGCATGTAGAGGCGCAGGTTGCGTTCAGTCATGCCAAAAGGCAGTCCAGTGATAAACACACAACCTGAGTCCTTTTTCTGTATCTTACTGAGCAGAATGTGACCCTGAAATACGGAATAAATGTTAGTTTCTTGTTATCAATAAATATAAATACATTTATAATTTTAAACAGCATAATTGTAGAAAAAAGCAACTAAATACAAGAATTGTATTTAAAATACAAATTTTCAAATATTCAACTAATTTAGTGCCGTAATTTTCCCATTATAGCTTATCTAATTTTCTTTCATCTTCAGAGCTGTGCTTTTGTTTTCTTCAAAAAGTATTAATATTCACCAATATCACCTGCATGAGCATATAAACTGTACAATATATACTACTCAGAAGTGTAATTTGTAAAGTTTGATTAACACATAGGAGGCTGTTAGTATTGTGCTAGAAATCTGTGCTCAATTATGTTCACAAATGTTTTTTTTTTTCTGAAGGCCAGCAACATATGTGCTGTGGCAATATTTGTGGCATAGAGGTGGACCCAGCTAAAAAAAGTACCTATATTCACTCCATACCTGCCTAACTGGAAAATTGGGCAGAAGCCATGCAAAAATTAGACAAAAATGCCCTAACAAGTACATAGGAAAATTCCATTTCCAATTCCCTAAATTCCAATTCCCACTAAATAAATCATCTCCTAACTAATAGACAACACTAAACACAAATGTAAAATCAAGTTGCAATATTCCAAATTCATTGAAAATATATCAATTTGTAGCCAAGAGGTTTTAGCATACAGTATTAATTCACAAATCCTAAAACAAATGATGTATATACAAACCTTGGGAAGAACATATTTTCTGAAATGAGGTTCAATTTCTGCTTTTTCTGTCACTGGAATGATATCTTCTTTAACTGATGATTTCTTCTGAGATTTTGAAGATTTTCTCTTTCTGATTGTGGCCATTGCAGTTATTAACTACAGAACAGTATATTAGAGAAATGGATTTCAAAATTTGATCAACCAACTTGACCAAAGTATATCTGAAATTAAAAAATAAATCTTGAATTAATAATTAAAGACAACAATTATCCAAATACAATACCGTATTCGTTTGTCATTAAAAGTCTTGATCATTTTCCATCAATGCTAGCCTGCTAGGGGTTCAGTTGTATAAATTCATTGTATAAAATTGTTTACAATGTTGTATAAAATTCATTGGGTTCAGTTGTATAATACAAAAAATCTTCAGTCAACTATTATCTTATGAGTTACGACAGTGGTTCCCAACTTCCCACTTCCCAAACTTTTTCAGCTTAGCACCTTCTCTGGCACCCCAGTGAACTGTGAAACTCTAGTGCCCCCCCCCCTCACAGCCCCACTGACAGACATATAAAAACAAATGCCTCTTTTTTGATATTTAGTATGCTGCAATTTTAAATGAGAAAGGTTAAACACAAATGTGTATTTTACAAATAGAACCCCATTTAGTAAAGTAAGTAAACCAATATATTTTTTCCAGTTTTCACTGTTTCAGCACTAGAAATTCAAGCTGGCTCAGACAAATTTACGGTCAGACTCATGGCTGGTCTCAAGGCCAATTTCCAAATTCAGTGACCAAGTAGGTAATATCTCCCAATTTAATGAACGCAGCTTGATAAAACATGAAACATGTATGATGTATTCATTAGGACCTAACGTTTTCCAAATTCAGTGACCAAGTAATATCTCCCAATTTAATGAACGCAGCTTGATAAAACATGAAACATGTATGATGTATTCATTAGGACCTAACGGCTAACGGTGATGTTTAGCTTGTGAAAAATTAGTTAAATTTCACCTGTGTTGAGCCCCGCTTTGGGAATTACTGAGTTACCTATGACTTACATTTGCACTTTGCATCAGCACTCACAAGCCATCTGCCATAACATTCTCTGTGCTGGGCACAGTGGGCAGCATGCCTAATCATGTAATATGCACAACACAACCCACACTCAGGAAGATGTATATAAACGGGGAAATTTCTCGCGTAAATCAATCTAATTATATTTTGTTCGCGCAGACATTCGTGCAAATCACGGTCATCAATTCCGCGCCGCGCAGCACTCCTGTCTCTTATACACATCTGAAATTATTATCAAATAGCTAAGGTTTCATCAACTCAGTGNGGAAGGTGAGGTGGTGTAACGCGGTGGTAGGGTTGATTTTTCGATACGTTTTCATATATTAACATGAGAATATATTAACTATACAGAATTCCACACTGCGTTTTACATAACAGTATAAACAATAATCCAAGATATAAAGAACAATAAGAACCTACAAGCTACAAAATTACTTAGTATTTATTTATCTCCAGAGTCCAGAATCTCCAGCAAGGAGATAGGCTTAATAAGTTAATCTCCTTATAATTTATTCACATTTGTAGGGTCAAAAATGATATACCTACCTAGCTAATACAAACTTATAATCGATATTTAAACTTTATCTCAAATTTATGAATTAATACCTAACCAGTTAGTACACACAAAGTAGAGAATTAAGTAACAAGTATTTTGCACTTGTCACTTAGCATGAAATTAGCAGAAATAGGCTACTAGGTATTCACAGATCAGCTGCATTAACACTTAGCAGCATATCTAAGTTTGGTTGTTAGTGAAGTCAAGCAAGTAGGATTGCGATTTAACGGCTGAACATTTGCTTTTAAAAATAGCGGACACGTAGCGGTAAGTCGTGCGTGAATTTCGTTCAAAACTATATTGAAATGATAGATGAAATATTAGGTTCACTGCAAATTTTGGAACGTATAACTTGGAAACGAAGTCAGAATAGAAAAAAAACACGGCCTAAACATCATGGCCTAATAAATGCACGTGAAAAGTTTCATTGATCTTCTTTCATTGGTGTGAGAATTATTTTAAGCTCACTGAAAATTTGACCATTGTTCACAGAAATGCCGGTCACTGTCTAACAACCACCTTGTTAGCCTGTCGTTTTATCTTAAACCTTCAACACACATTCCTTGACAACCACCGGGTTAACCGGGCTATCTCTATTAGTACTTATATTACAGCACTGATCACTCATAATAACCTGTTGTGAGAACCTTTTACTCATCACACAACTTCCAGCCTCACATGGTTTGCCGGTGGCCTTTACTCTTTTGTAGAGAGCGTTTGATGCCCAGTACTCTACAATCTACATTTACGTTGAGGTGTCGTTCGTCACTCGTCAGATTCAACGCACAAAGTCTTTCTATCCTCATCTATTATTTCTTAAAATTTTCACTCTCTGTGGCGTGCGCTCAACAAGTGAGTGGAAATAGCGCACAGATCAACGTCATTATTCTTTGATGACGTTGCCACGGGGCCACGGGGCCAGGGGCCACGGCTATAAACTAAAAAAACAGCGTTGGAACACATCCATGCGACAACATTTCTTCTCGCTTCGAGTCACCGACATGTGGAACAGCCTTGGCCTCGACCCTCGTCATCGCACCAGAGCGCCTTCAGAGCTCGAGCGAGGAATGACAGCTCCTCGAGCCATCCCGGTGTTGCCTTATGATATGTTGCTATTGTTTATTAAGCTTACTGTATCTATGTATTCCTCTATTGTCTATACTGTATATGATTCCAGAATTTGTGATTCCAAATTCATGTAATTGAGTGAATATAAAAGTCGTCATTGTGATTAACGCCATGCCAAGCTACAATGGCGGCATTGATAGATGAACATTTGCTTATAGGTTGCTATCATAGTTCATAGCTATTTGCTAGGATGACTTCGTCTAGAGGAAGTTAGTTTGAAAGGGAATTATTTGTTGCATTAACTATGCGTACTAATTTGATGTTCTTTGAGCAATTGGCCTCACTTTCCTGGCTGTGCGCCTGTGCCTTATTTGTACGACATATACACTGATATAGCGACATAGCCAAGACGCCGTTCTGTTTTCTTCCACTCAGTCTTAGAGAAAAATTTTAAGAGAGACTACTTTTCTTCGCCTACTGCCTCATCTAGGGAGCGCAGCCGTGCACCACCAATTTTGTGCACCAATAAGCCCTGAATAATATAAGCCGTTCGACCGAGAGCTGGTTCGACACACGGCCTAGATACGGACGGCTTGAAATGTTGAAGGCTACGTTCCGGAAGGCAGGAATCATGATGGTCCATTACATCCAGGCAGCTGTGGTCTTCGGCAGGCGACCCCCTCATCTACAGTTCTACACGGCCCTATTGCCGACTTGCTGTCTTTGAGTATCTTTTAATTTTAAGCATTTTAGGTAACTTCAATATATTGTCATCTAAACTTAATCTCTAATCTCACTTAACTTGAAGCATTTTAGGTAACTTTAAAAATTTGTCATTTAAACTTAATCTCCAATCTCACGATTTCAAGTATCGTAAATTGAAGCCCAACTGAAGCCGTTGACACTATAATAGTAACCAAAGCCCAACTAAGCGTTGGCACCATAATCGTAATCGAAGTCCAACCAAGCGTTGGCACCATTATCGTAAGCGAAGCCCAACCAAGCGTTGGCACCATTATCGTAAGCGAAGCCCAACCAAGCGTTGGCACCATAATCGTAATCGAAGCCCAACCAAGCGTTGGCACCATTATCGTAAGCGAAGCCCAACCAAGCGTTGGCACCATTATCGTAAGCGAAGCCCAACCAAGCATTGGCACCATTATCGTAAGCGAAGCCCAANATATAAAAGCCAGCTGTTGACAACAGCCATGTCGAACATGTGGAACACCATCTTCATGTAGTATTTCTTTGACTTCAATGGGGTTCTGGTGATGGCAATCAGCTGATCTGCCTTGTCTACTCCACCCATTGACCGATTGTAGATTTGAACAATGTTTGGAATAGTGACTTTGATGACCTTCTTCTGTTTTTGGTCAAATCTATCAACTTCAGAAGTAGGATTTGAGAGGGCAAGCGATGACAGCATGTTCATAACACGATTGTCACACCACCGTTCATATGAAAATTAATATCGCATGTTTCGCTGATCAGTCTCTTCTCTTCAAATGCTTCTCTTCATCAATTCTTCAACTTCTTTTTTAGAAATTTTCATTCCCGGCATGCGATTTGCCCGAACTGTTCCACAGCAAAAGATTTTTCTTTCTGCCAAGTGTTGTTGCAAAGGCACCGCAGTAAACCAATTATCAATGGGCACCTGCATCTGTTCTTCAGTAAACCAATGGGCACCTGCATCTGTTCTTCAGTAAACCAATGGGCACCTGCATCTGTTCTTCTGCTGGACAAAACGTTGGATCTGAAACACTGTCATCACTATCGTAGTTTTCATCAACATCGCTCGTATCAGCTGCTAACATTCCATCCTTTCAGCAATAGATGCTTTCTTGGCAGACGATCCATAAAAGAACCCTGAAGCCATATCTAAAAAAAATAATTATGAGAAAGACTGCCAACCTCAAAACAGAGTTTAAAATGCTATGTCTATTTCGATGCATAGCCTAAAACAGTAATATAGTTGAATTTGTCTGCATTTAGGTGTAAAAAACACCGATTATCTTGATAAGATGAACTGAACAATTTTGCCTATTTGTGTCTGGTAATGAATGGTGCTGTCCTAGCTGAACTAATTTGTACAAACCAAAAAAGGGATTCCACAATATAAATATAAGCGCCAAATAATTTAGCTAGACTTTTGGACTGTACCAATGCGTTCACTTCGGACTCAGAATCCGCAGGCTAATATTTTCTCTATGTTATAGCTTTGAAATAGACTGAACGAATTCGTTCACTACGGCCGTTAAGGGTTAAGCTTAAACCCTGTGAGTCCAGTCCCTGCATAGTGTATATTTCATGTATGTCCAGAGCTGGGCAGCGCTACTTTGAAATGTAGCGGCACTACCGCTACCGCTACATGCTCTAAATGTAGCGGGCGCTACCGCTACACCCAATAGATTGTAGCGAGCGCTACTGCTACCGCTACATGCAGTAAAATGTAGCGCCGCTACATTAGCCGCTACAATGGCCAAAATTAGTGGAAATCTCTAAATATTTATTGGTCTGCTATTGGGATTTACTCATCAACGGTGATGTTTAGCTCGTGACAATTTTTCTATTTTGCTTTCGTTCGCGAGTTATACAGATATAGGAGGAACGACCGGCTTTTCTACCGGCCGATTTAACCAGGAGCCGTTTACGTATATCCGTACACGTATAGCCGTATAACTCGCAAACGAAGGCAAAACGAAAAAGTTGTAGCGAGCTAAACATCACGGTTGCTGAGGTTAGGTATTTAAATACTAAGTTTCGTTCAAATCTATTCAGTAGTTTTGGAAGAAATTTCTTGATTGCTCGTATTGCTGTTTAAATTACGAATGAAGGTGAAATGAAAAAAAAAAACTCGCGAACAAAGGCGCAACCGAATAAATTATCACGAGCTAAACATTACCGTTCGGTAGTTACATAACCTAACATTACCGTTAGGTCCTAATGAATACGTGTACCAAGTTTCATCGAGTTAAGTTCAGTAGTTTGAGAGATATTCCTTGATCATTGAATTTGGAAATTGGCCGCGAGTCCGGCCGTTAATTTGTCCGAGACGTAAACCCAGGAGAGGTTAAAAAAGCAAATCTGGGTGAAAAAACCATCGTTGGGATTCATAATGTGCTGCACGTGTTGTGTACAAATCGTCAAACAAACTTTGGAACTTCTGACTCTGACTTCGGACTGCCGCCCCCCCAAACGCCCTCTACTTCCTTACCGCCCCTCAACAAATCGTTCCACCGCCCCTAGGAGGGCGATATCGCCCACTTTGGGACCACTGATCTAAAGGCTTTATTTATAAACGTAGCGGTAGCGCTGAAGCGGCAAAACCTCGTATCGCTACTTAAATATGTAGCGGCCTTAAATGTAGTGCCGCTACCGCTACCGCTTCTAAAAATGTAGCGGCCGCTACATGTAGCGCGCTACTGCCCACCTCTGTGTATGTCATTCTCGACCTATTAACTAATATTAAATTCAACTTCCAGCTTACGTCACCATTGTTACCAACAACGGCACGTAAAACTAAAAACTATAAAACCAAAAGTTATCTTATTGCCAAGCAACCCACGGACGTGTCAGACGTTGTTCGAATGCGTATCTCTAATATTTGTATATTTGTATTATATATTGCGAGGATCTGAAATCTCATTTAGTGGTTGATTTATGAGGCGCGGAGATAAGATTTTAACAATATCTTTAGATCAATTTATAGAAGGCTTTAAATATTGATAATTATATTTCCTCTGGGTATAAAAAAGAGTTTACAGGAGACTAATCATTGAATAAGGGTTTCAAAATTCCTCAATGAACAATAATTTCATTCAATAATTATTATAAAGACACGAAAGTTGATTTGATCAGTGCATGAAGTCGCCAAGATTGAGCTGCATGGGACAACGCCGAAGTGGACCCTCTGATTTACATAACGAAGTTAGCCCGTTTGAGGTCTCTCTTGAGCTTACAGTAAGCTCGGGATGTTAAATATTGTTATGCTTAATCAGCTGTTTACCATTTGCAAAGTTTGATGGTATTTACGTCATCAGACGGATTGTTTGGTAGACGTAAAAAAAGTGTTACGTGATCTTCTTCCAGGTCAGGTTGATCAAGTTAGTAATATTGATAAAAAAAGTAACATGAGAACAACTTGACCTTCAAGTTCCAGTGCGTACAATCGTACCTGGTTATCTCTCACTGATTGAATATTACGCCTATCTAAAGTTCTCACCCGATGTACTTCGAATCGCCAGTGATTAGAAGTAATGGGAGGAAACTTAGTTCTGAATATACGGTGCAATTTTTGCCATCAATTAGTGGACTGATAATAAACAGAGAAAAACGGGAGTTTTATTATTCGAAGCAAGATGACCCGGAAAGTAAACAATACCGTTGTAACAAATAATTTTTTACAGGAAAAATTATGGTAACACTTCGAAATTTAAATACAGGAAATTAACGATTTTCCAGTTTAAATCCTTTCAGAACTTGGAAAGCTTGTAGCTTGGCGTTGTGCAGTTCTCGTAGTCTTTCTTTTTGCTTCCTTATTATGATTTCCATCTCAAGACAAGCATCTGAGAGGGAAGAATGAGTTCTGTCGACCTGTTCCAATTCCTTTGAGGTGACCTCTTCCCTCGAGTCCAGCAGCGCACAATAATCTTCTGTTGCACGAACTTGCCTCCTATATTCGTTCACTTCTTCTATGATATTTTCCCTTCGTCGATGGAGAGAATCTTGAATACTCCTTAAATCATGGCATAATTTACGATTTCGATCAACTTCCTCAGCGAGACGCTTATTACTCAAGTCAATCTTGGAGTTCAATTTCGACTTTTCTTGAGCGTCTTCTCGTAGAGCTGAAGTTTCCGAATTATGAGAGTCACAAATCTTTTTTTGCGACGTTATTTCATCCTTTTTGACATTTATAAGATGATCCATCTTATTCTTGACAACTTTGGCTGAGTGAGTTGCAGTGCCGGTGATGCTTGTCAGTCGCGTTACGGATTCAAACGTTTTAACGCTCGTCGCTCGGTGTCTTAAATCTAAAGCCGAATTCCGTGCTTCAGTAGTCTGCCTATGGGTAACGATATCATTTTTCAGACTTGGCTGCCGCGTGCAGACTTCGCTGGAATTATTGCCGGTTTGCCTGCAATTATATTCAACAGGGTCATCAGCAAATTTTCGCCTGTTCATGTGCACCCTTTGAACTTTTTCTCGAGGAATCTCTTCTTTAATTTCTTTTCCATTCGTGCTCATAATATTCGCACCATTGACAAAAATGTTGAGATTGTCTTCACAATTGTCATTTTTTTCTTCAATACAAAGCATTTCATCGTCACCCGACGTTAAAAAATGGGCACCTTTGGCCTTTACAATTGCCTCCTGATCATTAATTACTTCCAAAAATCTTTTGTCTAGCAAGATGCACTCATTCTGACTCCCGCTCTCAGCCGCCTCTCGCTCTGAAACACACGAGCATTGTAAATACAATCTATAATATACGATTTAATTAGCCGTTTATAAACGGCGAGAAATAGCTCGTCAAACGGTAAAACAAGAATGTTTATGCGATATTGATACATTTTTAAAAAGTTGGGCTGTGACTAGGTAGGTAAACGAGTGAACAATTGCCAGGGTAAATTAGAAAATTAAGCATGAAAAAATGAGCCTTTCACGTTTGAAAAAAAACGACAGGATTACCAAATTATAACTTTAGTGAAGATAATTCTATTCTAATGGACTATCACTAACAGTGCTCTCACTTGAGAAAGAGGTAAATGAAAATTTTCTTTGCTGAGTACGCACCTGCAGTTTGCGGGAAATGTAAATCGTATGCCAAAAACTTCGATGGCCGTTTAGGTCTGATGATCACTCCGCTGTCGTCCTTAGGAGTCAGTCTTGGGATGGTCACGTTTTTCAGGAGGTACTTAGGCTCCTGAACTGCGAGCGCTGGTGACTGTTCCATTATCGATCCTGTAAATATTTCAATAATTTATCTGTCAGGCATAGTGGCTTATTAGACTTTAAAGTCGGTGCGTTTTTAATTCTGTCGGCAGCCTCAAGCTTCCGTATACTATAGAATGAATGACATTAATTGCAGTCATCTTTGACGCACGAGTTGTGTTCGTGTTGATACGGAGTTTTCCCCATTTTTCTAGAAGAAACAGCAACTCAAGCCATTCGTTCGTCAGCACATATTTGGGTGTCAAGACCTTTGAAATACTCATAAATTTTATAGTAGTTGATAGCGTCAAAATAGAATGAATGAATGAATGAATTTTTCTACTGGGAATGAATGGATTTGTTACAGATAATTTAATGTAAAAGTACGGGCAGTTGAAAAGATAAGCTAAAAATGTGAACAATGCTTTGCACTTGAAGAGTTAATGAAGGTAATTTCAATTTATTGCCATTATTGTTAACAAATGACCATTACCACGTAAAAAAAACTCTGACCTCCCGCAGAATCCGTCGGACATTTATGCAGGGAGTTTTACAAATATCACGGCCAGACGTCTATATCATGCAGAAATATCATCTGATTATTGTAATACAAAATCCTTGCATAGTTCTCCATTATTCAAATCATCCAAACTGTCAGGTCCTAACTGCTTCACATGAAACTTCGTATACAAAATTCTTAACTATTCGGTTTGTGCTGAAGTCGCATGCCTTCATATAGCCGTATAATTCTCAAACGAAGGCAAAACGGAAAAATTATAACGAGCTAAACATCACCGTTGCTAATGTTAGGTATTTATATACTAAGTTTCGTTCAAATCTGTTCAGCAGTTTGGAAACAATTTCTTAATCACTGCGAATTTAAACACGTATTGCTGTTTAAATCACGAATGAAGGTGAAATGAAAAAAATATCGCAAACAAAGGCACAATCGAGAAAATTTTCACGAGCTAAACATTATTGTTAGGTTCTAATTAATACATGTACTAAGTTTCATCGAGTTAAGTTCATTAGTTTGAGAGATATTCCTTGATCATTGAATTTGGAAATTGGCCGTGAGACCGGCCGTTAATTTGTCCCAGACGTAAACCCAGGAGAGGTTAAAAAAACAGATCTGCATGGGTGACGAAACCATCGCTGGGAGTCATGTGCTGCACGTGTTGTGTACAAATCGTCAAACAAACGTTCGAACTTCTGACATCGACTTCGGACTATAGCCCCCCTACCGCCCTTTTCTTCCATACCGCCCCCCAAAATATTTCCACCGCCCCTAGGGGGCGATATCGCCCACTTTGGGAACCACTGGGCTATACGGTAAGTTTATTGGCTAACGGTTCCTGTATGGGAAAAGAACCTAGTGAGATAGAAGAAAAAACAAATATAAGTGTCATGAATTTTTTATTTGGTTTAATCCACGTTCTTCTTTCTCACTAGAAAACCACCTAATATAAGCTCCCATAGCATATAACTTGTGAATGGAATAGATATAAAAGTTACTTAAATACGAGCGGAATGTTTATACGAGTTCATGTGCGCTGCCACATTGAAATTTGTTCGGCTTTTCAGATTCTTCAAATGCGGATTTACTGTGTACCTTACTTACAGGTCAAGAGACAGACAGCCGAAAAAAAAAGTTTGGCACCTGCTTAATTGCAGAAGTGCCGAACTATAAAAACCCAAACAAATATATTATAAACAGTCCTGTACAACAGTCAACAGAGGAATATAATTATATTTAGGTAGATAGAGTAGTCGTTCATCTAGATGCGTTTGGTAACACTCTTACTCACGTGTTATTAGCTAGCTGGTACAGTTGCACTTCAACCTGCCGCGACGAATACACCAGCTAAAGTGAAGACAATAAATTCTTCAGCGGCGTAGGCCGGCTAGTCCAAGATTAGTGGTTCGTTTCCAGACTGGAGTTGCCAAACACCGCCATTCCAAGCAGCGTTTGATACCACGCATCATTTTATAAAACATATAGTCGTAATATTTTTCAGAATGTGAAATTTTTAGGCCCCAAAAATTTCCTTATATTTATATCAGAAAATTTTATCACGAAGAAATAATTGGAATCTTACTCGAAAGACACGTGCTACTGAACACACGAGTAGGTGACTTCTAGGCCGACCACTGGCTTTGATAAAAAACACCACAACAACAAATCCTCGTTTTACTGAATAATTTTGGGACTGAGATTTTACGGTAGGAGAAAAAGATTTCTTATTTTACAATGAAATATAAATAAATCGACATTCCATATTATTTCTCAGTCGCTCAGCCAGCGACAAAATTTAAACTGTAAATTAAAATATAGATTATCCTTATTATCATCTCTAGTATCGAATTCATATCAACGTGATTCAGTGAATTTTATTCATTTTTCATTTTATTAATTTTCATTTTTATTGAGTTTTTATTGTATCTCAGGGCCTTTGTTAAGAGTGGAAAGCGAGGAACTCAAGTAGTCCGGCTCAGAATTTGGTCGCTTTGTCCACTTCACTCCGAAGACTGCGCCTCGGGACGAAACGTTGGGTGAAAAGTAGAGCAAAAAATGTGAATTTACATCAGCAGAATTTTATTGGACAAGTGTCATCCTGCTCGCTAATTTGAAGGAGAAAAAAGCCTTGTCATTACTAAAAAAATTCGCTGTTGATGTCGTGAAGAACAATATATTTTCAGTAAAGCCATGATGACGCAAAACTTGAATACAGATTAAAAAACAGAGATCTAAGCAATGTAAACTTATGAAGATAAGCACTCATCATGGTTTAAACATATTTTAAATTTGCTGCATCACATTTCCTAACCTGCAATTAATCGTAAAGGAATCTCTTGCAATACTTTCCCATTAACTATTCAAACATGAAGCCGGTTGTTAGCCGTTCGATGTTGCCCATCGTTGGATTATAACGATACATTTTGAACACTCACTGGCTCGGCTAACCGGCTACAAAGTGCAGGCAAGGAAAGTGGGGGGGGGTCTATAACAAGGCTTATGAGCAAGGCTTTTACGTCTTTTACGTGCGGCTCACTTCTACTGTCTGTGACCTGCAGTCGGCTTGCTGTATTTTATTAAGAAATTTCTTGAATTTAAATAGAGTAAAATTTTATGGCAATGATTAATATGAAGGTATTTCACACAAAGCTATAACAAGTAAGATAAAACTTTGAGTATGATTAGCCTTGGCGGCGTTTGCATTAATGAGACTAGACCCTTAACCAAAAACTCACTCGAATGACTGAAATGCTGGAGAGACCGGATCTCACATAAACGTGGGAGTTCCAATACGGAATGTGTGAGAAGACTAAATAAAATAAATAAAAAACAATAAACATTAGAAATTCATGTATAATAATTTTTTATTTTCTACTCCAACGGCAATTATTCGTAATAGAAGCGATTGAGCAAGTGATTATTTTGTAGCCGTTCTACGCCAACCCATTGGATGTGATGTGGTGACATTTTCATGGGAAATATTTCCGAAACAGAACTGTGTTTGCCAGTGGCCTACAGAAATGCAAGCTAATTCAACTATGACGAAAACAACAGCTTTTATTTTAAACTATCAACCTGTCAAAGTTCTCGCAAAACCATGCAGAATTTTCAGAGAAGTAAACAACGAAAATCCAAGCATAGCCGTATCACATGGGATCAGGCGATCGTAAACACATGAACTCTTTTGTCTAATCTATACTCGCTAAGTATTTGAAAAGGAGTAAAGAGTATTTTAAAAATGAATTAAAAATAAAAGACTGTCGTCCAGTGCGCGAACCGCGGCGTCCATCGTCTGTGCCACCTGCTTGCCAGGAGCTGCGCTCCCTTGTTCGCCCGCTCGTGCATGGAGAAAAGCACGAATTTTTATTTATTTTTATAGATAATTAGACACTAACATTTTTGAAGTTTTATGCCCCGTACAACATGTGAATCGAAATCTAAATTCATGCCGAAATTTAGAGAAAATGGGGCTTGACGGAAGGTACCATCTCGTTGATGGTAGGTACCACAAGTGTAATTAACATAATCATGAAACCAAATTTGGTTCCTACGTAATCACAGGACATGAAAAAATTTCTCATTAAGCTTGAATTTTGAGTAGCTCACTGGACACTGAGCTTGGCATTATATTCTGGCTTCATGAATTTCTGGTAAATTCCCATCATCTCTGATAGCGATATGATTCCCTTATTGAAATCGATCTAGTGAATTAGCATTATCGTATATGTCCCTCCAAATGTCCCTCCTCCCAGGCGTTTATCTCACGTTGTTCGGTCTGTCCCAGACTAAGCCAGACAAGCCGTGGAGCCAAAATCAAGTGCAGTGCAAGTGCAATAATAGCTGCCTAGCTAAACGCATTGTTTTCAAATTAAGAGAAAAATTAGAGTTTGCGCTGAAAGCGATGCACTTTTTTCCATTTTGTGATTCATCCCGAATCAGTTTCTCCCGGCAAAAGGGAGTATCAGTGCTTCGTCCAATTTCTGTTAGTGCTGTGGGTAAAAAAGAGTCACTATTTGGACAAAATAACTCATCCATTTTTCTGCTTGCGACATCTAGAATGGCTTGCACCATATTGCTCGGGCTGCCATGCAAACCACTTAAAGTCAACCATACGGAAAACTCGCGAACTTCGATGACGCTATGAGCGGCATGAAAGAACTTGGGTACAAAATATACTATGTGCATATTGTGAATAACCTTGATAAAAAGAAAATAATGATTCATGAGATATAGTGCCAATCACAACTTATTACGATGATTACTTTGGCGAATCAAGCAATTCTGGTCATGTACAAATAAGCAATCAAGGGTACATATAAGTGCATTCTACATATTGAAAAAGTTAGGCGTGTTATCGTGGTTTGTGTGAGCTGATAAATAGTAAGTATAGCTTGTTAGTAAAACCTTATCATGATTATGACGGAACTACATTTGAACGAGCCCGTTGAATACTTTTAGAATAATACGAAATTTTATTGCTTTGCGATAGAACGAGAAGTTTCATCTGAGCATACTGGATTTTAGGACCAGAAGAGAGACACGGCGAAACAATCGAAATTTTTATTGTAGGAATCGCTTGCTCTCACTATAATTGTAATTACATGAAATAATTTTTAACAATTATTCCAGTTCCAGTGTTCGGCACGAAAAAGCGCGACACTTCCTTCTGGAGAACATTTATCAGTGGTGACGTATTAATTTTTTCGTTAGATCTTCTTACTTGTAGTTCTTGTCCTGAAATTGGTCATTTTTTCCAAGTTTAACGCTGATGATTTCAATATTTCCTTCAACGAAGTTTTTAATGCATCCCTTTTCTGCGATTTGTTTTGTTTCTGTCTTATTTTCATTTAGGGCGTCCTTGCTTCGAAAGATCGAACCGTTGGAGGGGCTTCATCTTTTAGGACGCCAAGGACAACGGAAACGTGTAGAGGACACGATATTTTCTCCGGGGCTTCTACTTTCGTCTGGTCCTCTTCTGGAATAGAGGGCGCTGTGTAACTTTATTCATTCGGTGCTAAGTAAAGTGCAAGTCGTAATAACGCAGCAGCGATGTTTAAGTAAAAAAATCAGAGACTGGTAATTCATGATTGAATTATTATTTATGCAATTTTCAGGAGCCACGCAACATTATTCACATGTAAATTCATTATTAATTTCATTGAGTTATTATTCATTATTAATTTTATTTCACACCACAAGCAGCTCATGGCACCGGTGGGTTCATACCCGCGAGGTGTGCAGGTGGGCAGCAGATTGTGCTGCTGTTCACGTAGCCGTGATACGGACGACTGCACAGACACAAACAAACCTTTTTGATGCATGACGCGTTCACGGCACATGACGGCATGGATTACTGACATGATGAATTACCTTACTGGAATTAATTAGCGAACTAAATACGTGCTAGTTGCATTTACTGAGACGACGTGTAGCAGGCACGCCACGCAGCCCACCACCGCCCACGCCAGGAACATGCGGGCGCTGCCCACCCACGAGATGAGGAAGCCCGACAACACCGACGCCAATGCGTACCCTGCGAGCGCAAATTTTGTTCCACATTTCAGTTGCAAATCCACGCTAAAAAACGGATTGTGAGGCGTTTTACATATGCTAAACATGATAAAGGGATGTATTATAGTAAAAAATTACTTATTAGTAATTTCTTACTATATACCTAAAAGTAAACTCTGAAGTCCTTAACTATTTTTAGGAGTTCACCAAATTTGGGTTTCAGAAGAATGGTGCTAACAGACTTGCTTAAAAACCACGCTAAAGTACATGTTATTGCAATGGAGGCTACCGAGTGTTTCGTAGGCGACGTTGGCAAGGCTCTGCACGGTGTTGGAGACACCGTCAGGGGAGAAGTTCTTGGCGCACAGCACCACGGCGGGGTAACCCAAGCCTTGGCACGGACCGTTCAGCAGCTCGACCAGCAGCGTCGTCCACACCGGCCACCACAGACCAGCAGCGGCCGTGAGTGCCAAGCGTGTCGCGTGCAGCAACAGAATTGCGGACAAAAACTTATCCGCTCCCCACCGGGCGAGGATGCGGTCTAAACGAGATATAGGATTTTTTTTTAAAATTATCTTGAATTAATAAATTGTACCGTAGCATTTGGCAGATTAGCTTGGGTGGGAGTGAGCGTTACAACATTCTATAAATATTGCATCACTGATTGAGTACATTACATTTGAGTACATTTTGAGTACATTTGGTACATTAGTACCAAAGAAACATATATTTATATTTAACCAATTTAGACTATTGAGGTGTAAGAATATTTTACGATAATATTTGGAGCGGCTTACCAGAATAGTGCAGGCAGGGCAGCTCTGCCAGCGACCGCACCAGCACTGTCAGCCCCTGCGTCAGTTTTATGTGCTTAGTCGGCCACCGCGCTGACATCTCCTCTTGTAGGCTGCTGACGGACGGCAAGGCAGTCATCTTCAACATTATCCTTTACATTTATTTGAATGAATAAATCGGCGAGGCGTATCACATGGAACAATTGAATATTTTTTTAACCTGATCATCGTGATGAAGTTTTCCATTGTACTGAAATCATTAATATTGTAAAAAAGCCGAGGATTTTCTGTAGAGATAAATTTCGTAACTGATACGTAACTGATACGTAAGGTGATATAACTGATGATTACATAGCATTTTAAATTTCTGTTCACGTACGTATGAATTTTCCTCAGGTTTGTTTTCAATTGGCGAAATGATACCCTTTTGATAAATATTTCGGATGTCTAAATTCAAATTCAGCGCTAAAAAGTCCCGTTTTCTTCTCATCCAAAATGAATGTACCAAATGCTACTCATCCTTGTACAATAGGCAATATATATTGTTACCGTATAATATGCATAAGGTAACAATAGCCCAGTGTTTGCGATCTTCGAACAGCTCACACGAAGAGGTAGATGAAAGGTACGGCACAGAGAACTCCGTTCACCACAGAGAACAGCAGGAAGAGCAGGAAGTGCGGCCGTTGCAACACAGGCTTCATAGTCGCCCATGCAGTGCCGCTCGGCTTGAGGGCGGGAACCTGTCCAGGGTAATGCCGTGTCAATTATGCTCTCTTGATGACTTCGCTCGTGACAGGATAATAAATAAAAATCAAATAGAACTTATGTGCGTGACAGGTTGATAAACGCGTTACTCCTAAGAGCGGTTGACATGGAGAAGGACAGTTTCAGGTAAGGTGGAGAAAATATATTAGCAGCCCAGAATCTGATGTAGACCATTGTGAGAATTCACATTCTTTGTCAATTATATTGTGTTACTTGGAGCTACTGTTATTGTTTTCTAGAGGTTTTCATTAATAATGTTAGCTAGTCGAACGCATAATATGCTCTAAACTATTCTTATTTTAGATAGGAACTATAAAACTATCAACACTGACGTCTGGCATAGTTTCACCAATAGTATTATCTATTGACGGAGTTGGTCGTTGGTAATGAAAAAAATCTGAATTAAGAGGTGCATTAAATTCTTTCTTTAAAGCTGCAGCGAACAGACGGTGAGTCTTTACTTTGAGGCGACTAGAGATGATGACGTCAAAAGACAAGATCACGAAGACCATGAAGAATGCAGGCGTGTAGTCTTTGGTCTGCGCATAGCCAGACCACACGTCCACAGCCAGACCACCAATCGGGCCCATCAGTCCCCACCCAACGGCACCCCACAGCCGCTGGCTGCCATAGTTGCTTTCAGGTCCTTAGAAAGATACCGGAAATAATACATTACCAATAATAGGTTGATTGTAATGACAGACTTGAATTCATATATTATCTTTTAAAACATCGATTAGGTAAACTATAAAGAATCGCTGTAAATGCCAGATCATCATTTTGACTATATGCACAGCATAAGCGTGGAAGGCATGCATTCTGATGATTTGATTCTTGTCAATTGCTCAACAGAAATTATTTAAAAGTTGAAACGAATTAGATTTAAAAATGTTTAAAATGTTTCGTAATTTTATGCAGTTGATAATACTCGACCACTTATAGAGAAAAATTAAGTAAACTAGAAGTTTTACGTAAGGAAATTAATATGAACATACTGATTCAATTTTATCGCCGGTCATTACCGAATAAATCCCAAAAATTTATTCTCGGTGGTAACAAATATCCGTGTAAATTTACTGGTCACCAAGGGTATCGACGGTGAGGGAGTCGGTGAAGGAGTTGACGATGGTGTAGGCGACGCTTGCGACGACCATGAGCGCCACGAAGCTCCAGAAGGAGGAGCTCTGCAAGGGCGACGCTCCCCCACACAACCTGTCCGTCCACACTCCCCCTACGCAATGCAGGCTGCGTTGTGAACGCTCGCCTCAGAAACTAATATCCAGCAAAATCCAAGCACATAATTTGTACGAATGATCTGTCAAACAAATTATAATCTACTGCATAACAAATGAAGAATGTTGGGAAAACAAAAAAGTTTAAGATAGTTTTTCAAGATTCCGATTGATTAGCCAACATTCTCTGACGTGAAATGCTCTGCAAAATCTTCTATGACACCATGCAATTGAGTAACATAATACTCCGAAGAAAGTTGAAGATATCAATTGAATATTATGGGATGTCAACTATATTTTGCAAATAGTTCGTTACAAAATATTTTGACTGATGTAATTGAACTAAATAGTTAATTTTGCAAAGAACTGAATTCCCACCTCCCTGCGTAGCCCGGGGGGTCACACTGGACGCTGGCATCGCCAGGGGCGGCGACGGCGTAGGTGGAGAAGTCGGAAGACGAGTTGACGAGCGTCAGTTGAAGCAGCGCCGACGTCCAAGTAAACTGGCAGTCGCGGCCTGCCTCCAGCTCACAGGAACCTGCCGTGCCGAAAAATGTTTGCTCATCCGAGTTAGGAAGTTAATTAGTTAGATGCTAACTTACTCGATTAAGCACTGCTAAATGAGCATCAAAATTACAAGAAAACATGTTGAAACAACGATTACGGCTGTATCATGAATTGGTGCAGTCCTGGAATGTTTGCAGGTACAGGAATTGTCGGATCTGTTACAATAACAAGAATATGTAACTCACTGTTGTGTGGGATGACAATCATCAAGTGAGAGGAGGTTGATTCTTTCGAGGATGCCTTCTGCTCAGCAGTAATTTGTGAGGTGAACACATGGGAACAGCTGTTGAACACTGTTGACGCCGAATAATGAAGAGCGTCGAGATCACTTGCACCACTTAAAATAACCGAGTAATTTACACTTTTATCAACGATAAATGTACTTTTGTAGTTTGGCGCTGGTAAGAAAGGAGGGATAAAGGACAGGCTGCTGAGGGAGAGGCATGTGAGCAGCACAGTTCCTACGAAGACGGGCTTCCGGCTCCAAGGGAAGGTGTCGGCGAAGGCTGAGATAAAAGGCTTCAGCAGCACCGTCAGCAGTAGGACCAGCGCACCCACCGTCCCCATGAGGGACACAGACGCGCCCAGCTGTACGCTCATCACCAGCAGGAAGGGCATCACCGGGGCCAAACCTGTCGCAGGGGGAACTTATTCATCGCACGTTGAATTACAATCGGGAATTCGGCAAAATTCTGATGCCGTGAACGAAATCAGCATGAATATTTAAGGTTGAATTTTGTGTAACCTGCTCTTTTTGTTGAGCAAATAAGCGTATCAATTAAGAAACCTATAACTAAACAAAAAAAATTATTCGTTCAAAATGGAAATTAAGGAAAATTCAACGAACCTCCAAAAAACAAGAAGTAGTGTAACTTGATGGTGAGAGTACTAGTGTTGACTTCCATCTTCCCCGAACCAGAAGAAGAAATCTGCAAAAAAACTTATCTTCTCACGATGTTTTCGCCAAGAAACGCGTCTTATTCTACAGTGCTCTTGGCGAACTCGTCTACAGTGCCATTGTCTCGATATAATTTCCATCATCACTGTCCAAAGATAATAATTCATGTTGTTGTTTTTTATCTTCGGTTACACGAAATTAGTTTTAGCTCGTAGCGTCTCAATTCTGAGTGTAAATTTATATCATATACAAGTTGATTGAAGAATTAAAAAATAGTTCTAAGAGACACAAAATTAAGTCACGATAAGCCCAGTTTAATTCCGTTGTGAGGAATAATACGGCATTATAATGGTTGCTAAGCTAGAACTCTGTTTTGGCCAGGGCAGGCAAACAATTGAAATTATTCGGCAATCTAGAAATTCGCTTGATATTAATGCACGATATTCTTTTCTCCCCAAGTGCACAAGAACAGAATACAACCTCTTTATATCTATAATGTTTTTGTCTAAAGAGACTTATTCAAACAGTACTAATGTACATAGATAGCGTAATGCACACAGTCGGAACACGTCGTCGCTTCGGCGCTTCAGTGCGCACTACTAACAACGCTGTCCATTGATGCTAACCGAGGTCATATCACTTGGTGCATCGCGGTTCCGGCTAAAGTGGCTTGAGCACTAATAACTCTCCTATTTGTACTGGAAGAGCAATAATAAAACTGTCTATATTATATTGCTGATGAAAACCACCATTGATAAGTGAAGTCACTACGTAATTGGTTCAATAGGATGTCACGTATTATTTTGTCTGAGGTTGAACTTCTTTCTATCGCATATGACAAGGTATCCTCGAATGGTAAAACTGCAAGCGCAATCGCTTCAAATCTAGCGTCAGATAAATTTATTTCGACAAAATGTTCCAGCGCTGTACCTTCCAATTGACACTGGACGGAAGAGATGCCCGTAAGTTGTGGTACAAGCTGAAACGTTGCTTTCTTCCCATGCAGCAAGATAGATTGAGGTTCGATGCCGTTGTTTCAAGCCAAGGTCATCTGTACATTACATCTGATATACTCGTAAAAAGTTGAAGTAACGTGCTCCGACTTGATGCTAGTATGACGGGAGGTTTCCAGTGCTCGGAGTACATAATCTCATGAATTTTAGAATTTCGAAATCATAAATCCCGTCATCTTACATTCACTTAGAGAAACTAAGGTACTTGATTAAAGAAATACCTGCTGCTAAACCCGATTTAACATGGATATATAGTTTAATTTACTGTTCTATTTTTGAAAACCTAATTTTTTATGTACAATTTACATAGAGAAAAATAAAAAAAAATCACATTTGTATCATTACATTTGGCATCTCACTACCCAGTTTTGTAATGTACCACTACCCAGTTTTGTTTGTACCATTTCATCACTAAGAACCAAATTTCAGGTCCAAGTACTACTTCGACTCGTCAGGAATTGTTGTAATATTCTCGATCGAAAAGCCCTCGTTAGTTTGGTTAAGTTTTGTGGCCAAATGTTTACTAGCGCTTCAGGTATTTCAGCTATTGTTTACTAGCGCTTCAGCTATTCAGCTATCTCGCACCGAAAGTCAAGATGAACATCACCAAAGAAGTGAAAGGGCTCAGTTATCGAAAGTTTCTTTAATGAGAAGAAATCATTCATCACCTACAAGGGGCGGAAGGTCTCAATTGTCCAGCCCGCTGAAGCTGGCTCGAAAGAAGCAGCGTTAGCATCCGAAAAAGACGAAGTGACAGGGAGGGACAGGTGAAAAGCAACAGAAACTAAGTCACTCGAACAAGAGGTCGCTTACACGGGACGCCGGCCTCCCGTACGAGAAAGACAGATAAGGGAAATGTAAGGTAACCTACTTACATAATAACTTAATGTAAGGAATCCTACCTATATTATAACTCAAGCCCACAACCGAGACCTGTAGTCAGACATCGCGAGCTCAGCGGTGGGGCGCTTAGCTGACACGCACAGAAACACGTCAGAAGATCCTCCTGAGGGGCAATAGCCCTGGATATACATGGTATTAGATCCAGAACAGCTGGCAAACAAAAAAACAAATGCTCATTCGCAAAATAAGTTCGCCATATAACATTTAATAAGTTCATTATATAACATATAAGTAGTTCATAATAATAATCCATGTTTTCAGGTTATCCAAACGTTACCCGGGTAACCAAATAACCCCTGTAATTTGAGAATGTTAGAAATCTCCTTCCGGTTCCCGTCATCCCGCGTAACTCTGAATCCGATTCCCAATCACTCCGAATTCAGTAAGTGGTTTTGAAACTACGTAAATTACGCGAATCAAAGAAAGTCCCGTCTGAGAAAAGTCTCAAACTTAGCATGTGATTCACATCTAACTACTGTTCTGAAATTAAAGAAAACGAAAATTTTTTATTTGTGCATACAATTTAACAATGTTCTGAGCAAACAACACTTCAATTTTTAAATCTAACGGTCCTTTCCTCCATTTTTATATGTCTCAGGATCAATCCATTGAAAACACAATGTATTTCGAGGTAATATCGCGACACGATAACTATCGTGGAAATGTACCAAGCCATTTCATTTCCATTACAAATTTTACAAACATTCATTATCATGATCTAAGATAAGACCGACAAATCAAACATTGCAATTACATGTCGTCAATCGAAAAAATTACCACTTAGTCAGTAATAACTTTTATGTTTGCGTTGGGAATAATTTCGACAGTGACTATTTTACGTTGCTCTAGAAGTGGTTTTTAGTTTTTAACGAACTTTTTAACACGTTTTTCTTAGCTTAGCTTCGCGTTTGTTCGTTTGTTTGTTGTTAACATTGACAACGAAAATTAGCCCACTTCTGATTGTACCTTTGCTGGCGAGCGCCGTATCAGTGCGTCAGGGGTACGGGTATTTGCATCATAAGCCTACTAAAAAAAATCCTGCCATAGTTTTTGCTTTTGCATTTTTTTCAAGTAAAGATTAATGTGATTCTGAAGTCTTCGATGTTGTATAACGAAGGACGAAACCAGAGAAACATAATTTTTTAATTGATCCGTGCTCCACAATGAATAGAAAATCTTAAGAAATCCATCATAAATGCATAAAATTTTTAGTAAGGAAGTTGGACAGCCTGATGCTTCGAGTCTATGAAGTTGTTTCTTCGCAAACATCGCCTGAGCTGCCTCTTTGCTGTTGAACCTGAAGAAGAAAATATGGCATCAGACTGGATTAAGAATGATAGATTATACACTTAATGATCGAAATTACGTGAAAATTTCTTGTAAATCTTCAATTTTGACTTTTTGATTAGAAGCTCATCACTTAATAATTTAAAGTGGATGTCCAGACGAAAACTCGATATAAGACAAACGTTCTACATTAAATTAATAAAAAAATCAAGCGGCAATAGTCACCCGTACCGCGGGTGGCGGAGCCATGCACGTGTAGACAAGATGTAGCAGCCAGGCCACCGCACCCACCACCGCCCACCCCACGAAGGTGGAGATGTTGCCGTATGCGTCTATCATCACGCCTGAGATTGCTGATGCCAAAGCGTATCCTGAAACAAAATATTTTTGAAATGCAATAAAAGTGCATGCTTAATTTATTCCGATGTTAACATTTAACTTGTTTCAAATAACGACCCAATATTCGACTAATCGAATTTGTTTGAAGAACCCATAATTAGAAACCGATGTTACGAATATATTTGAATGAAAAATCTCCTTCTCTACAGGCTTTTCGAGTGGCACTTGATACATTTTGGGATTTAATACGAATTATTTAACCAATGTCGCATTGAGTTAAGAACTTCGAGAAACATCTGTCGTCAAACTCAAGAGATTTTCAGTTAATATTACGTTAAATAATTGTTTTCAACAGGATAAATAGTTTTTGATTTGAATTTATAAACAAAATAAAAAGTATTGCACGGTTTCTGAACGGCCTCTAGGAGCTGTCGTACACAGTCGTCATCAGAACAAACTAACCTCGAAATGTGAGGCTTACGATAAGTTATCGATGCTGGAGATATCTCGATCCTGAATTATAGTATTCTATTACGATCCTGAATTTTTCTATCGCATTGTGTCAAGATAATATAATAATTATAATTGATTTTGTGCACAACAAATATACAGCAAGAAGGTAAGGAAACACGGAGACACGTTAGTCAAACCCAACTTAAAATTTAACATACGGGTGCATGATCACAATGAACTGAACGAGGTACACATGCAACGTCACGTATACGCTATATGGCACTTTGGACACATTACTGTAGCTCCCCTAATGAATTACCTAGTACATCGTAGCAGATGTTACCGAGACTCTGGACGGTGGTGGACAGCCCTACGGGGGAGTGGCGTTTCGCGTTGATGACGACCAACGTGTAACCCAAGCCGTACACCGGGCCGCACAGGATTTCCACCAGGATCGTGGTCCATAGGGGGGCCCACTTACTCGTTACAGATATTAGGCCCAACCGAAGGACGTGGAGAACGAATATCAAGGATTCTATTCTCTCGGATCCAAATTTCTTAACCAGCATATCTGTGAATCAAGGCATAAAGAATATTCAACAACTTTACTTGGCTTAATTATTTCCATCGTTTCATTAATTTGGAAAAAAATCACATGAATTATATTTATTCGCAGCTTTTTCATCCGTTTCTAGAAGTATTCCCATAAACTGGTTTTAACGATCAATTATGTGAATCTTTCGCAAATGATACGTATTATTAGTGAGGTGCTTATATACATCTATTGGCTAATAAAATGTAATTCTTTTGAGAACCATCTCGCAGTGTGATATGCTGCTTCAGTTGTGCAAAGAGAAACGAACCGGCGTAGTGTAGGCAGGGGAGCTCAGATGCGCTTCTTACGAATAACGTCAGCCCTTGTATGAGCTTTACCCACTTCATGGCAGGAGTTCCTGCCGCAACTTCTTCCTGTAAACTGTTATATTAATTAACCAGCTTACCAAAAATCATATCAAACATACGTAGGCCCATGATTAAAGTTATTATTCAAATTCCAACCATGAGTAAAAAAACGTCTTGAAGACAACCTCGAAACACGTTTTGATGGCCGCAATTGGATTATGTGGGTGGGGGTATTTTCTATTGTTTGCAAACCTCCATGGAAATGTGCTACGAAACGGTCAACATCGACTAAAACATCAACTAAACATAACCTAAATATCAACTAAAAGGTGACATAATATTAACAAATACTGAAATACATTTACATTTAGTTTAGAAATAATTATTATGCAAGTTTCATTGCAGACAAGAGGATGTTCTTTATTAATAATTTTCTTAGGCAGATTGAAAAGCAAGTTACAAAAAGAAATTTAAATAGAATGCGATGTTTCGACTGTACAATATTCGTTATCAAGAAGGTGGAGAGTTTTGCAACACTTAAAATATAAATTTAGAAATGATAGTAGTACAAATAAAGGGTATTGTGTATACAGTTCGGAAGGAAAATTTAAAAATACTCTGAAAATAATTTCAGCGTCTTGCCCTGTCCGGTAGTTGATAGCTGGAGACTCGTTCTTGATAATGAGAGCCACAGCTTTTGCTAGTCATGAAGCGTCGGGGCACCGCATGACGATGCCAGTGCACCGGATCGACACTTCTCCGGACCCGCCTGCGAACTCGCCTGACTCAAACGCAAACCTACACGCTCAACTTAACGGAGGCGCAGCCGTAGGCCACCAATTTTACTCTTTAATAAGCCCTGAAGCCAAAGCCTAGCTTCACTATGCATTAACTTTACTCAGCCTCAGAACTAGAAGCTGCAGACTACGCTTGAACTCCGTAATCCATACAAGTGACACTACCGAAAGATGATAGCGCCGTAGGTCTTCAGCCAATGCTTAAAGCATGCTCGCTCATAAGCAGGCAGTCCCCATCCGGCTATACCTACTCCGGCCTAATCTCTTCTGGCTTAACCTATTCACGCTGTCCCGGCTCACATCCTTCTTGCAGCCAATGACTGGCTCTACCCGCACATTTAGACCGCCTTTCTAACTTCTTGCAGCCAATGAGGTTAGGTTAGGTCCGCTCAGGTTTGTTTTGGGTGGAGAAAGGTTGCAGGTCGTATAGGTTAGGCCTGAAGAGGTTAGGCCAGAGAAGGTTTGGCCAGATGCAGTATGGCCATGTTTCCTTTTGGCCAGCTTATTTCGTGGCTGTGGACATCCGGCGCTATGGCTTTGAGCACTTGACTTCATAGGCCGTTATGCACTCTAGCGTTCTTACCTATGGGAAGGAATATGAACTAAGTGTGAAGTTTGGCTAAGCTGGCCTCCGGCATGCGCCCCAACTTAACCAGTCATAAGTCCTTCAATACCAAACGGGTTTGCTTGAATTTGGGAATATAAGTAGTTATTATCAATACACTGCTTAGGAATTAGTAAATATTTTTACATTATTGATTTGTAAATTAAAACGAATAAACACATTTTTAAAGCAACTTAACCAATAAAAATAATAAGTCCTTCAATACGAAACGAATTTGCTTGAATTTTGGAATCTAAGTAGTCATTATCAATACGCTGCGGTAGGACAATCTTCTAACAAAACCGTGGAGATATCGTCCATACATAAAATATAATAAGCACAACGGACAACGAAAAAATAAAATATCTTATCTATTAATAAATACGAAAATCAATAACCTTATTATAAACCCTGTAAAAAATCTATAGACTGCTTCAAGAATTTAATGTTGTTAATAAATTTTCTTGTGATAAAGAAGGTTGCAGACTTCTTCAAAATTTTAACTACATTGGACTCACTAGCACGACTTCATGCGCTACCTCACATGCCATCTATACGTACTCTTCAGGACCTAACAAAACCACACGCTGGAGGTTCACAACGAGACCATCTCCTGTACACAAGTGCTGTGCAATTTAGGAACTTAATATAAAATTCGATCTAAATGTAACGAATAGACTTCCAAATTCAACCAAATGCACTCCCGTGCTGCGACTCAAGTATGTGTAGCGACCATGTATATATATTTCCTTCAGTTACCCCCGTAACTCATTTTCGAGGAACGTTGCTGGCCTAGTGAATTTTAGCAGAGTTACTCATTAACTCTGACTCAACATTATTATCCATGTTATTGCCTTAAGCATCATTGTCAATTAGCAACTGCAGTTGATTTTGTGTTAGATATTATTTGGCTACATATTTATATCATTAGCACCGATCTAGGATATTACAACGTCGAGTAACTCCAGTTGTCATAATCATTTGCATATCTGTAATACCGTTCTTAATCTGGCCTCCGGACCTTGACTCAAAAATAACGAATTTGGCAACTTCAGGGGAGCAGAACTTCAGGAGTTACACTTCACTTTAGCTGGTCGTACCATGGCATCCGTCGGCTCAACGCCTCGGAGCGGGACAGTACGGCATTTTCAAAGTTCGAGAAAAATACTAGATAGTTCTAGAAAGGATGACGTAGCAGTCGGCCGAAGCCGGCTACTGTCACGGGAGCTTAGCACAAGGAACCTCTTGCCTCAACGGTTAGAACAGAACTCTTACCCTAACATTCAACGGGCAGCTATTTCCTCAACTTTTTCTTTAATGTTCAGTTCAAGAGTGTCTGGCTCCTGTTGCTTTATTTTCAAAGATTGCTTCATGGCGTTGAACTTTGCGATAATTTTCAAATCCCCTTTTCTCTCCATCGCTTCTGCATATTCATCTGCTGCTTGCGCAAGCGCCTTAATTTGATGCCCTCCTCCGTACACCTTTTCTTCTTCTTCAGTTCATCTAGCTCATCCAACAGAGCCTTCCTCTTCTGGGTTTTCTGGGCCTTCACATTCTGCTCTTTCTCTTTTGCCAAATAATTATATTTAAAATAATAAATAAATAATTATTGTAGGCTGTTTTGGCACTGCCAGCTGCATCTTCTTGGTGATGGTCATCTTGTCAAGGCCACCAACAATAGGCCATGGACTATCATGATCCCTTCCCTCAAGACGTCGTCGCCTATAACACAATCAGTCACAAGACAGATCACATCCATTGTATTAATCAGCCCACAGGATCGTCTGCTAATACGTGAAAAATTTTACACAACCCGGACGGAGTGCGCCGTAGCCCAACGTAGCCTGTAGACGGGGACAGTACTGGCCGCATGTTTATCCGCCGCTTGAACTGTCCACGCTACTGGCCTCGTGCGCGTGACACGCTCACAGCAGTGCAGGTGACACGCCTCAGGCAAACACAGCAGTGCGGTGTCGATATTCAATTGTCGAGTCCAGACGATATTAAGTTGTTCTATGAGATATTCCAAAAATATGAATTAATGTAGAATGTTCGCCATGCTGGTTACTCCAACAAAATGAAGAGAAACGAGTATTTTGAAACAAGACCTTATTAATCAGGGTTTAGTTGTTCCCGACGTTGAATTTTAAAAGGGCTAGAATAAAGAGTATAAAAACGACGTAGACTACAGACCTGAGTTGTTGAAGGTGATCCCACTATCCATTTTCACAAACCTCACTCGACGGCTTCTAACGACGCACTGGCGGGCAGGGCTCCCAGCCAATAATTTGAAAAAAACTTAGATGGTTGCTGAAAAACACCCAGATTCTGCAGATTTTGTGGAAAAAAAAACCCAGACAACAAATTTCATCAAAAACATTGTAATTTTACTTACTTCTGATGGAATTATATACACAACTATAACTTGTCACTTATCAATAGCGAGCGCGGTACTGCGAACTGCGAAGTGTGCGACGAGAAGTTGGGAACCGTTGCTTTGACTGGTAATGAACGCGTTCAATACTGTAATAAACGCGTACAATACCAGTACCTTCTGTCAGCTAGGGAATTTATACAATCTGACGGTTAGTACGTTGCTCCATTCATTGTGTCTTGACTCTGCATAATCAAATTTAAGGCAATGAGAATATTTCAATTATATTATTGGCTGAAAATAACTTACTTAACGAAAAAACCCAGATTTTGCCATTTGAATGAAAAATACACCCAGACACCCAGGTGACGGCCAAAAAACCCAGATATGGGTGGAAAAACCCAGCGCTGGGAGCCCTGCTGGCGGGCTGGAACGACTCGAAACGAGAAGATTTCGGCACCTTATTATACTGTCCTCGTGTACAGGCTTATTTGCCGGATAGTCATCAAGCGGCCGACATTTGCCAGATCTAATTGCCATCTGCACTGTCCATTGTCACTTTTACAGTGATTATGATGCCCGTCACCGAGCCGTCCGTGTCTGTCCCGTGTTTCGAACCAGCCTACAGTTGAACGGCCACGCGTCTTAGGACGATAAATTTTGGAACAGAGCTATGCTATCTGAAACCTAACCCCAGCTGCTGTGAGCTAAATGTTACGTAATTTAACGAAGCTGCGGAAGTCACTCGTTGAAGGACGATAGATTTTGGAACAGAACTATGCAATCTGAAACCTAACCCCAGACAGATGCTGTGAGCTAAAACTGACCGTCTGGCGGTGCGCGGCAGGATTCATGTGCTCCTAATATTTAAAGCTTGATGATGTCATGGGCTGGTTACCGACGGATGGCTTAATCCGTGGTTGATTGGTGGTCATCCGGAAATTTGCTAGGCGTTCCTTTCAAGGCGGATTGGTGCACAATTTTGGTGGTGCACGGCTGCGTACTCGGATGTACTTACGCAACACGTAATTTTTTGTGCGTAAGTACAAAAAGTTGAGAAGTTTTTATAATCCGGCCCCAGGGGTGCCCTCGTTCTTATTCGGTATATGCACTAGCTTTCGATCATCTAAGCAAGTTTCTTTTAAATAAAATGCTTTCACGTCTTTGACAGTCTGACATTATATTTGGAATTCTAATTTAGTTGATCTCTTGTACATTCTAAATCTATCTACATTTAATCGGTTTTGTCAATAAAAAATCAAATGCTGTCTGTCCAAAGTACGTGAAATTGGGCTCAGGTGGAAGGTGCCTGGGACTAGGATGAATCTGGGTCGGAGGTTTCTATCCGCACACTTCATTAGTAGCGGAAAAAGTTTCCATGCCATGACTTGTGTCTTGTCCAATTTCCTTATAATTTAGTCATTGTAGTGCATCACCCGCGCGACACAGGAACCGTGCACTAGCATCGTAGGCCGGTCCACACGCTCAGTTTTACCCAACGAATTATCTGTGCAGTCTCAAGTCGGAGTGAAATCGATGCAATTTTTAGAACGTCCACACGGTGCCGACATATCTGTGTAGTTTGCTCAGTTATGTGCGATCTCGCCATGGAGGAGGCAGTACTTTGGTCAATTTTGGCATTGTACCTTATTAAAATAAGCTTGGATCATTTAGGAAATGCAAGAAATCAAAGTACCAGAGAGATGGCTTGTAACTGTCATCTTCTCCAGCTCCAGATCGAATCAATTTATTAATTTTCCCAATTATTTACAACACTCCTCAACTATTAATTTTTGTATAACCGTTTCTCTGTTTGCGCTTTCATCGATTTATTTGAATCTTTCTATTGAATTCTCATATGCTTCCACCTTTTTGAACCTGTTACACTGGTCCTTGGATTTAACTCGCCAAATGCAAGGAAAACTTCGTATAGAGAAATAAATTCCTGCAGAAATTCCTGAGAACATTACCGAAGGTCCGCCATTGTCGCCAGACCAATTGAAGCGGCACAATTTGAATTGGGAAACTGTGTTACCGTCTACGCGTTCCGCGCAGTTCAACGAAATCTATGCTGTGGAGCTCATATATCGCTGCAACTGTGCATTCTTCGCGCCGGCTTCAAAACTGCGCTGTTTTCCCGTCCACACGCAACGTTTTATCTACAACGTTCTGAACTGCGCAGGCAAATTGTTGTGTAAAACTGAGCGTGTGGACCGGCCTTCATGCGGTGCCCCGACGCTTCAAGACCAGCGAAAGCTGACGCCTGTCGATTATCAAGAGTGAGTCTCCAGCTATTAACTTGCAAACTACAGGATACGTCTGGACGCTGAAATTATTTACAATGTAATTCTAAGTTTTGATTTAGGACTTTATCCACTAAAGTTACTAAACCCTTCATTGGTACTACTGTCATTTCTAGATTTAAATGTTAAGTTTTGCAAAACTCTTCACTTGCTTGATTATAATTTTGTGTATATTCCACACATCGCTAGATATCCTTCGGTAACTTACTTTTAAATTTGCCTACATCAGAAAGAGTTTCATTCGACTCATTGGGAAGATAAATAAGAATATTATTAATGAAGAACATTGTCTGGTCTTCAATCGAACTTGCATAAAGGAAAGGCTTCTGCCGAACTATTCTAGTTAAATAATTATTACTAAACTAAAACTTGACTGCTTATTAATTGGAATTAAGCTAACTAGCAGCTACTTGGCATGAAACTCACGCGAATAAGTAGATATTGGGCACTGCATTTAGTACGCCACTCATGAGTGAAGATAAGAGGTAGACGAAAAAATGAAACTGCTTCAGGAGGGGCTTGACGGCTTTCCACACTGTGTCCTCCTCCACCTTCAGGACTGGCACCTGGCAATCAGTAAATTCATTACTTCCGGGAAAAAAACATAACATTAAGGGTGTGTATTCAGGATTTCTGTGATGGATTCGAATCTTTTTGTTAATGCAAGCATCTATCTTTGACGGAATACATTATTACTTTAAGTTTAGTGTTGAAGTTTGATGGTTAATAAATGCCTACTTCATCCAATATATATTTTTCTTTGAACAGCAATGGACAAGCGAAGAGGAAATTTAAAATTTGTTATTCTTCTTACTTTGAGACGACTAGCGACGATGACGTCAAGTCCCAGGAAAACGGCAACCAGGATGAATGCTGGTGTGTAATCTTTAGTTTGTGCTTCCCCCGAGTGCCAGTCCACGAGAAAACTGGCAAGTGGACCTAGAAGTCCCCAACCCAACACCCCCCACAGCCGTTGACTTCCATAGTCACCGTCCTTACCTGCATAGAAACAGATGTGCTAGCAGGAATGAAATAATTATGAGTATTTGTTCGAAAGTTCACTATGATATGTGAAGGGTTATGCAGCCAATTTCCCGGAACAGTAGCAGCTCACCAAGCTTGTCCATCGAAATAGCGTCGGTGAAGGAGTTGGACGTCGAGTAAGATATTTCGGACACGACATTGAGCACCACCAGGAACCAGAACGCTCTTGAACGAAGAGGATTACCGCCGCACTCTGTCGTAGCCCACTGCCCTCCAACGCACTTCAGGCTGCACGCGAGGCTCAAATTGCTTGTGCGCAAATCTTGTAGGTTGTTTTACATATGGAAATGAAAAGCATATTCATCAAAGCATCATAGCGAAAAACATGTTTATGCAAAAATAGCCGTCTAGTCTCAGTTTCAAAAGAAAGACTCATATTTCGCAAAGAAATGACTCATCGCATACCTATTTCATATTGTAATTTGTAAACTAGTGACGGTATAGGGTGAAACTCGTTCAATTCCCTCAAACAAATGATTGCCCCAATAATATAATTTATCGAGGCATCCTTATATTATAAAACTTTCAATAGTCATCACGCATGTCTCTATTCTGGACCTGAGAAAATGGTACGTATCTCATTGATATGATGTTATCGTAGACTTATGTGAAATCTGTAAATATTTCCACACTTCGTCGTAAACATTAATATAATTTCACACAGTCTTCAATAAGTCGTGCCTGCCAGCTTAGCCCCCGAGCTACGCTGGCAGTATATCAAATAACCAGTGCAAGTAATATCAAAGACGTATTTTTCACTGCAAATAAATATTGGCGTAAAAATAATTTGTGTTCATTTCAGAGTCACTGATGTAATTGCGCTCCTGAAAGGAAAGATAGTGTCTCTCATCCTTCCTTATTTTTGTTCACTCACTTGAAATATTCACATTTTATGTACGTATGTACTCATAATAGAAAAAAAATTTCATCCAAAAATCATTCTACAGTAGTAACAGTACCTGCCTGCATAGCCCGACGGCTCACATTGGACGCTGGCATCGCCAGGGGCGGCGACGGCGTAGGTGGAGAAGTCGGAAGACGAGTTGACGAGCGTCAGTTGAAGCAGCGCCGACGTCCAAGTAAACTGGCAGTCGCGACCTGCCTCCAGCTCACAGGAACCTGCAGGCCGGAACCCAGCTACTTTTGAACTCCGCATTCTTCCCATTATTTGTCACTTTACCAGTTGACGTGGTGTAAGCTCATCAATGTCTACGCTACTGCATGGAGTTGCCCATTACGAGCGTACTTTGGACTTAGAGCATGCCATGCTCCTCCTAAGATAATCGTATAAGTTGAATCCTAGTTAAGCTCGAGTTTATTCTTAGGGAAAAGGAATTGTTTATTCAAATTGGTTAACACTTGGACTGTCATTGATTTTGGTTAGCATCCTAGTTGAATTAAATAATTTGAGCAAATCATAAGCTGCTTAAAGGTGACACAATAAATAACCGTGTAAAACTAACCGTTATTTGGTAAGACGATAAAGAGATCTTCCCATGGTAATGAAGTTTTGTTCGATGATCCCAAGTGTTCTGTGACACTATTCTCGCCACATCCAGGCTTTGAGAAAGTCTGGTTCACAATATAGTTTGGCAAGAGATCACTTTGTGCTAACTCTAACCCTTGAGGCAGTGATACTTCAGTTGCCACATTCCCAGATTTAAAGCTGAACGACGACGAGTTGAACATGTCTCGTTGCACGATCCACGCGTCGGCGTAGCAAGGAGCCTTCGTGAACTGGGGGATGAATGCGACGCCACTGAGGGAGAGGCAGCAGAGCAGCACCATCCCGACGAAGAGAGGTCGGCGGGTTAAAGGGAAAGCGTCGGCCAAGGTGGAGAAGAAGGGCTTCACTACTACTGATATCATTAGGATTACAGCACCCACCGTCCCCATCAGGGAGACAGAGGCGCCCAACTGAAGACTTATCACCAGCCCGAAAGGTACAACGGGTGCCATACCTGACGAAATATTAAGCACGATACAATATTTAATCGCGCTAGCGGCTAGACTAACACTTGAACTGAAATTATATTTGTGCTTTGCATCAAACTCTAAAAGCATAGTAAAATAAAATGTTCAAATATCATAGAAAATTTACATTTTACACAGAATTTAATGCATGTCTCCCATAACCTATTTAGTAGGCCATTCAACGGGATTTGATTTGAGTATCTTGAATAGAAGTCAACGCATAACTTGAGGCTACAAAGTCTGAGTTTATGTCGTACATTTCAAGACTAGGAACAAGAACCCCAGAAAAGTAGAAAACGGTCTCGAATTTATTGGTGAGACCTGCGTCCTTCTATGTTCATGTCTCTAAATCGTTGCTCTCCGCAAAGTTTGCATTCATGGGGTATAATTTATTTTTGACATCTTTCATACTCTAATTTTGTTTTTTGAATTAATGGATGAGACTTGACTCATAAGTAGATTACTTTACTCTTCTAAAGCAATTATTTATTTTGTTACTTGGTATGGAAGCAAAAGATTGTCCATGTTCGCTCACATTCATATTATTTATACTGGTAAACGTTTAATTATTTTTTAGAATTTATGGATGAGGCTTGACACACCGCAATAAATTGCTTTTCTTTTCTATAAAGTAATTCATAATTTTATTAGACGGTATGGAAGCAAAAGACTGTCTATGTGTCAAAGCTCGCTCGCATCATTCATTATAAAGTTGAGATGTGCTAAGTAAAATGAGTGCTCTTGTCCATGGAAATCTTTGAGCAACGCATGCAAATTAGACAGCTTCTTTTGAAAAAAAAATGAGAAGGATGTGTGTGTTATACCACATACACCCAAGTCCTCGTTTACTTACCTCCAAAGTAGAAGAAGAAATGAAGCTTCATCAGCCAGGAATCCTTGTTAATCTTCATGGCGAAGAATTGCAGTAAAACAAAGATCTAAAAAATTTTGCACTGAAAAACTCCGATCAAAATTTATTCTAAAAAATGAAGTTACAGATGTTTCAAGAAACGAATAAATTTATTAAAACATTGAAACGTAATAATCGATTCACTTAAATTGGTTCCATGCTTGAAATTCTGGAGTGATAAGTTGAAATACGTTAAATAATATTCAGAACATGTAAATTATGTTATGGAAATTATGAGATCTCATTTTGTTAAATTCGACGACGAATCTGAAAATTGTTCCGGAATTTTTTCGGAGTTTATTAGGGACATTAGCAAATTTACAAAGGTAATTCGCTTCGAAAATTAGCAATTGCAACTAAAAACTATGTATATGGGTTGAAAATAATTGCCACCACCATAGTGCAGCTGTAACAAATTAGAAGAAAAATGAATTAATGCTTTAAAGTTGGTGACTTGACAAAAATTATGGGGACAAAAATCGAAAGGATTGAGCTGCAGAGGAACATAAGCTTCACAGCAACATGCCACCCTGTAACGGGCCAGATATCGGCCTCGTTTGTGTACTAGGTTCGAAGCCGCCGTACTCCTCGAAAGACGACTGTAGAGACAAATGTCCTAACCGAACTGTCTTCGGATGTAGTCTGTCTCTAGTAGAGAGCGACTTCATTATACCCATTGTTGTGCCGATCATTGTGGTAATAGCGTAATTTGTCATCTGTACCTTTCAATTGTAATTGTATTTTGCGTCTTCAAGTAATTTATACGAATCTCTTGAGTAAATATTAGCCTGACTTGGTCTCTATATTCGTTTCAATCTTCCACAAACCGTAGGGCCCGTTGGCAGAGACCTCAAAGTCAAAGTGTTAAGATGTAGTAGCTTCCCGCTACAACCCCATTAACTAAGCACTCATGCCGATGAAAATATTGAAGTTACAAGTACCTTTACTTTTTTCTTGAAGTACTTTTTTCTTGAAGTAGTGCCAAAAAGTGACAAATATTACTTGCTTCCCTTGAAAAATCTAAAATCAAAAGCAACATTTAGAATGAATGCTTTCAATAAACACAAATATGTGCATGAATGCACGAGCAACACAACATCTTTTCCACATTCCCCGGGTGAATTGCACAAATAATAAATTGTCACCTCCAGACCAGCTGAAAGAGATCTGACCATCAATACAAGTTAGGGTATTTTCCAAGCCTAAGATCACAAATGATGGACATCAATATTCATATTTGAAAGTTAATAAATCTTAGAAAATTATATAAGGTTAAGGGCGACTTTAGGAGTTTTTCCTTCTGTCAGAGGAAATGGAGCTTTCTTGCCGTGTTTAGCGGACATGTCGATACATTGGGTAAGTCTAATACATGCCTTTTCGATCGAGTTTGTACCACATTACTTGAAAATTTTGACACACTCCTATTCCTAATTTTACGCAGTTTGTCCGTCTTTCCAGCCAGCACCGCCTTGGTGTAAAACCTTAAACCTTCAAGCTCATGGCTCACGTTTGGGTCAGGTTGTTATAGTGCCGTCTGGCGTCTAGCATGGGCATGGCAGTACGCAATAGCGCTTTGGCAGATACTGCCGCTCTGTATTCTGCTTGTGGGGCGAGTGTTTCTAATGTTATGAACTATGTCTTGTCTCAACGACGACGGTTCTGAGAAAGTCTAGAGGTCGTCATATGATATTGAACTGATCATAACCATACCCCAAAAGTGAATAGTCCAACAAATACTAATTGAGAAAGTAGTGCTTTGAAACTTAAATGAGACCTTATTAGATCTCTCACCCACAGTCTACGCTGATCTACAAAGTTTTTCACTTCAGCAAGAGTGGCAACTAGGCAACCAACTGCTTCATCAAACGCCTCCTCAAACTCGTCATTACCGTTACGTTCCATATTCCATCGGCACCATGCACAATCCCCCCACTTGACGGCTACCAACGACGCACTGGCACCTGGCAGCTGTTTACGAAACATCCTCGCGTATAGGCTTTCAGCCGGTAAAACAGGAGTGTGAAAACTCGCTGCTAATACTTACAGCTGATACTAGCCCCGTTTATAAGCACCTTCATGCTTATTGAACATTTGGTGTATGCCTATGGTGAAACCCAAGCCAACAATTCGAGTTATTGGTGGCAATTTGCCTGCAATCCTCGATCTCACGCAGATTCTCATTTACCCAAGTGACCCACGAATCATCTCTTGAGCTGACATGGACACAAGGCTTATCACAGCACCGCTGCCAAAAACAGCACACATTTCTTGATTACTTATCAAGATTCGCACCTGTAGTATAATGAACTTATGTAGTGGTTGCATATGTTATGCAAATTTTCGACAGTTAAAAACGCTTATATGACAACATCATCAGATTCAATATCAGAGTTAGCAGCACACGGCTTCTCAGCAAGGATTGCTCCGAGTCAACTTAGCATATAACAACACACATTATCATTTGGTAAATAGCACCCATTCATCTATACAAGAGGGTTAAAATATTTGCCACTCACAAGTTCCAAATGAAAAGTATAAGGATAATTGGCTCATTGATCAATAACTGGATCATCCCGCCAAAAGAACACAGAACACTCGACAATGCGCTGGCAGACATTAACACGTCAAGTCATGGCAACTGACGTGAATGCCGCATAAGCCTTGTTTCTTAACGAGAGTTACTGTGAAGAATAACCTTATGCTAATCAGAATTAGTTAGTACTTTATCTTCCAGCAATTCCAGCTCATGACGCAGTTCAACATCAAACTTAGGTAAGTTCACATCTCAATTTGACTCTGTTAGAATTAGCAATAAGCTCACTAACTGCGAACCTTTTCTCCCTTCCACAGGTTGACCATCTAGCATCGGTCCCGGAGATGTGGTTCAAGAGTCCTGGGTGCCAGTAGAGGGAATGAGCTGAGCTAATACGTGACGTGACAATGCATTGGCATCCGAGTTGAAGTGGTCTGGCACGTAACAATAAACAATGTCAAAATTGTTCACGCCAATACGTGACAATGCATCAGCATCCAAGTTGAGGTGGCCCTGCACGTAAACAATGTCAACAGCTTCTCAACTGTCCTGGTTAATGAAAACATATTGTCTTCATGTAAGCAAATGAATAAGTGGCTGATGATCGGTATGCAAAGAAAATGATGCATCAAATAGGAATGGTCGAAAAGTCGAAAGTTGTACAAGATTTGCACGTGCACCATACCCAGAGACATCAACCCATAATTCTTATTTTGGAGGTTTTCTTCCCGGTTATCAGGATAAGCAAGTTCAAGATCCTGTTCCATTTGTTAAGCAGTTCCAAGTTTACCAAATGCATTGCTTATTTCTGGTGACCACTCAATAACTTTGGATCTCCTACCACTCCTTAAGCATGATTAAGGCTATTGGGTCTCTATGCAGTTAGACAATTTTTTTAAGTTCATGAAGCCATGAAAAATTTTTTTGTACTGAGATAAATTTGAGCAAAGATCGAGTTTTCACGATGCCAGATCGACTCGTGTGGTGGGTGGCCAAGGTATTTAACTTCTGACCAATAGCAATCACACCCTCAGGGCGCGATCTTACTATTGCACGACATCAATGTCTGGTGGACTTTTTAGACTAGGTTAAGGTGTTCCATGGACTTGTAATCACTCATGTCCTCGTCGATGAGGAACAGAGGTTTACTTTATTATAAATAAGAAGAATATGCATGCATCTTTTATCAACAGGGTTCCTGGACCAATAGCGATTAGAGGCAATGTAGTCCAACATTGAGTTCCACTCATGTCAAGTCAAGCATTTATTAGCATTTTCAAAGTTAGTAAGCAAAAGAAATGATAGTAAAAACTAGAATATTGGAGTTTGATGTGGTCCGCAGCATTTCCACTTATGAGCTTTGCCGCATGCAGCTAATGAGGAAAACTTGTCTATCGCAGTTCATCTAGTGCTGGGAGCACGCCAGGATTGAAAAACATACCAAATTTCCCGCCAGTAAATTCGAATTGAACTTGTAAATTAGAAAACTGAGCCAGCCATGAATGAATTGCCGCAATTTTGACTTCATGAGACTGAGAGACTTCACAACAATTATGGAATAAGAGGCACGAGGATGGAGCTGCAGAGGAACAAAAGTTTCCTTAACAGAAGATATCCTTTCTCGTGTGTGGGACGAGTTTCGCTACCGTTTAGACTTTAGATGTTTGCCGTGCAGCACAATGGGGTCATAATGAAAATTTATAAATTTGAAAAAACCTTTGAGTCTTTCTTTTTCATTGGTGCATAAATTATTCATACGAATTTATACTTAAATTAATACGTACTTATCAAATTGGGTCCATACTATAGAATAACCCAGTCAGTCATTTGTGTAAATGAACACTAGAAAGTTTGAAGAGAGTTGGGGCACATTAAGCTAAATAAACCAATTCCATGTTTAGATATCTAGCACATATTATGGACTGAACTATCATTACACAAGTCCAAGTTTGATGGACGGTTCATGCACTAATGGATTGGTATCAGATAGGAGCAGAGAGGTGTATCAGGATTGCATGCATGGGTCAGGATTGGAGCAGAGAGGTGTGTTTTCTATTTCTGCTGCCTGCTACAGTTTCTGGTCAGAATCGGCGAGGAGGCCAGGGGGCCATGCTTTCAAAACTCGCTAAGTGAACTTGAGTACTTACGCTCTATTTTCTGGCCTTGATTGGTGGATTTTGCTTGAAAGGCCGTCAATGATTGGCTGATGAACTTACGATCTCTTAACTTTTTTTGAAAGTATAGGAGGCGGTTTAGAACAGCAAAATCGGAGCATTGAGTTGCGTAATCGAGACCCGAAAGAAGTTGTGAATATTCTGCGATGTAAAGAATCGGCGATAGGACTAACGGCTTAATGAAATCTGAAACCAACATTTATTATTTTATACACGATGAGCCAGGACAACTTCACCAATATAATCAGCTAAATAGATAATTGTTTTTTAATAGATGATATTGACACGTAAGAAGTTTGTTGGGAAGGGAGTTTACAAGGGAATACAGAGATTTTATGAGTGAGAAATGTATTTTTAATTAACCATTATAATTTTTTGATGATTTCGTTGCATTTTAAATATACGATCATAGACATGTTTAGCTAGCGAAGTGAAACTACAAATG